GTTGGTGGACGTGGGCCGCCTCGTCAATCCTGTAAGTCCTGACGTGGGCCGCCTGGTCAATCCTGTAAGTCCTGACTTTTGGGCCCCCAATTCTTTGGGAGGAGATAGCAGTGCAACAATTGGTGGAGTCATTTGCGTCCAACGCTGCGGAATTCGACGTCACTTGAAATTTAGTGTCGGCGTTGGAGTAGTCAACCTCGTACCTTCTTTGAGGCATGTTCTCCAGACAACCAAAGGCTTTCCTCCCAAATGTGAACTATTTCTATCAATCAAGCAAGGGACTATCAATCTGGGCTCCCACTACGTGAAAGTAGATCAGTTTCCGTGGGTAAGTAAGGCGGATGACTCAGCACACGTCGGCGAATCGTGGCACTTTCAGCTTTCTCAAAAAGAAGGACACCCGCTTCCACGGCTTTAAGGATACCAAAAGGAAACGGACCACTAGGGTGTTTCTTTTAGGAAGTCACGTCTACGCCAAGGCGACCCGGGCAACGTGCGGCGGATCGTGTCTGGTAACCTGGGAGAACATCCTGGGTTGCTGCTGGGCTGACGAAGCCGGTCACTGGCTGCAGCTGATTCGCAAAGTGGAGCTCTCGCGGCTTGATCGCCTTGGTCTGGCTCCACGGGTTCTCCCCATGTTCTCTCGCCTCTTCTGCCGGGCGCTGAAGGACCGTGAGCTTGCGGCCTGGCTGACCTCTCCGGGCTGCCTGAGAACATTTGCAGAAGCCAGAGAATCTAGCGAGTTGCGAGAGGCAAGCGTGCTCGAGACAACTCGAGTTGCATTGGCTGCGTTTCAAGGGCAGTCTCGAAAGAGACAGCGGACGGCTGCCTGAGATGCTCTCGGGAGCGTGACCAAAAAACTTGAAAGGTGGTAAGCAGGCTTTATCAGACTTTCTCGTGGCCCGGACATGATTGTTTTGTCTTCCCGGTTGGGGGGGGGATTCACACATGCAATCGTTCCCTGAAAGGGCAGCCCTTGGCGTCGGGTCTTGTCAAGCTTGAAACTACGCGAGTGTGTAGACGAGGTTTGTGTAGCGCCTTCGCTTGGGGACGCACGTCTTATTTGAGGATGATGTCTGGAACTTTGCACCCCCTGCGAAAGAACGTTTCATGTCGGGCATGTTTTCTCCTCCCAAGTGAGCTGTGCGAGGGCTCTTCTGGGGACTGACTTCCCGAGCTAACCCGTGCTGCGGGCGCCGACAGGAGCGGCCTGGGGCGTCCAGATGCGCGCCCCAGCCTCAATGGCTTGGGCAGCAAAAACAACATGCGGCTGTTGTTGGGCATCCTTGAAGTCTAAGTGTGGCCCGTTTGGCCCCATCCCATGGCCCATGACTCTTTTGTGGTGCGCATTAGCGCCGGGCCTCCTGATGTGCCTGCGTATGCTGCTCGACTGCGCAGCGCTCCCCAATCAGGGCAATTGGAAATTTGATGGTGCGCGTCTTGGGTGCGCTTGCTTGCGCCCCGGGGTGGGTCTGAACCCTGTCTGAGACCAGTCTGCCCATCAGGAAAACATTGAGCTAGAGCCACGCCCCTTCCAAGGCCGAACCTTCCTGCCAGTATGGCATCTTGCCAGCGCGCGGCAGCCAAGCCTGGATGCTGGTGGTCAAACGAGTGTGGAATGGGCTGGGCACATCAGCATACATCATAGCCTGCTCATGTGAGGCTTGGCCGGACCCCACGTGTACTTAGGGCCAGGGTATAGTCGATTTGTTAAAAGGCCAAGACCCGTCATGTCTGGGGCGGGGCCAGGTTTACCAGCAAGGCGCTCTCACTGAGCGATGTCTCCGAGTCGGCTCGAGCTGCAGAGCACTTTGTGCTGACACGATGGGGCGCACAGCCAGAGTTAACAGCTACTTGTGTGGGAAGGTGCATCGAAGCTCGCTTCAGACATGCTACCAAGATGTCCAAATGGGTCAGCCATAGCGTTAGCAGCAATTCGTGGCAATTGGAAAGGCTCGAGGGATGCGCCATGACCGTGGGATTGTCGACTTGCTGGAACAGTTTTCGAAGCACAGCTCCGTGCTGTCCGAAGTGGAGGGTCGCAGTTTGCTTCATGAAGTCGAGTGCTGCAAGGCCTTCCTGGACGAGCGAGCCGCAGCCATGCTTCTCAGCACAGAGGGGCAGCCAATCCTCTTGCAATTTAGCATGGATTGCACACCGGTGAAGTCAACCGTGACGTTGACGAACACAAGGCAGAGACTGCTGGGTCTTGACATTGAATCGCTGGCAGCCGTGAAATTCGTAGTCACCCAGAACGCCTTTGGCGTGCATGCGCTCTACCAGTCCGAAGTATCCAGTCATTTTCGCTGTGCACGGCACGCAGCTCCAACGGTTGACCAGCGCGAAGCAGTGAAGCGGCGAAATGTCCAATGTGCAAAAAGGCAGGAACTTACCTTCTGGAGCCAGTCTTCATCTTGGCAAATTGCGGAGCAAATGCAAAGGCTACCATCCATCCAGATCAGCCGAAGCTCCGCTAGTTCTTCTGCTAGACTCTCCTCCACGCCCAGGCAGGTCCACACGGCAAACATGTGCTCCTTGCATGGAAGGCTTTCCTCGCGCTTGACCAGGACGCTATCCAAGATCCATGATGATAGCGCGTCCATCACGCAAGCAAAACTGGCGCGCAGCGCAGTAGTGCAATTGTAGAGGCTCTCCAAGCTGCTCGTCTGCGAACAAGGCCCGATGAGCCCACTTCAAGCATTGCGGGCGTCGTGAGCTGCACAGCCAGAGAGCAAGCCATAAAGCCCCCTTGTGATGCCCCTGTCGTCAAGGCGCTTGACGGCACGATGACGGACGTGTTCATCCACCGGATAGCTGGTGACGCTCTCTGGCACTGGAGTCTCTGTGCTGGACATGCAAGGATCCATAGCTCAATCGGAAGAGGCGCTGCAGCTCTGAAGCTTGGAGACCGCGGGCTCGGTTCCACCCGGGCGCGGATCATTTTTTGACTTGGCGAGTGCCTTTGGGAATTCTTTTTCTCCCTGACCCGAGACGGATCTTTCACTCCGAGACGGATCTTTCCACCTCCAGACAGTGAACCTGATGTCGCACATGCACTGGGCTGCGCTCAGCTGTCTGCAGCGAAATGCCCGGGCAAGCAAGAGCGCAGCCTGCTAGGGCAGGCATGGTCTTGCCGTGGGCCAAGATGATGGGGTCCCGAAAAAGCACGGTGTGCTGGAGTCCTCCCATCACATTGGGCACCGTGAGAAACTGCTGCTGCACACAGAACTCAGATGTTCTCTTGACTGCCTTGCGCATTCGCCGGCCTTGCTGTCTGGAATTATTTGGCGGGAGCTGTGAGTCTGACACCCCGCATGCTGCGAGACCAAGTCCTGTCGGCAGCTGCCATTGCAGAATCTTTCATCCACTGGCGAGTTCTTCGAGTCGCTGGAGACTTCGCTTGGTCGCTGTGCGTCGGAGACCCGACGGCAAACCTGAAGAAGATATACCAGCTGGGGATGGCGGGGTACAACACCGAAAGGCTGACACGAGTTTTGGAGCTGCTGGGCGAGTGCTCCTGGACAAGCGCATTTGTAGAGAAGCATCACGCCTCGACCAGCAGGGTCAAGAAATTCCATCCAGACATCGGAGACAATGCCCTTCTCGTCTGGGCCTTCTGCTTTACGTTTGCAGAGTTGCTTCCTCGCCCAACCGCTGAGCAGACTCGGAGAAAGCGCTTGGTCGCCCAGCTTGAGAAGGTGTGCAGGCGGGTTCCAAACAGAATCTCTGGACGGCATATGTACTTGGCTCACACCATGGAGAAGGAAGCAGCACGAAAGACAAGAGGGCTCATCAGACCGGTGAAGCAACAAAGGATAATGCAGAAACATGCCGGCTACTGGGCAGATCTTGATGGCGATAAGAAGCGCTTGTATGAGGCGAAGGCGGGCTTCGCACAGAGTGCCGCGCAGAGAGAACAGATAGCACGCAAGGAGCGTTTGCTCGAGGAGATTGAACTTCATGATGCGGCCACTGCGGCCAATGGCCCCGCTGGCTCCATCCAGGTGGCCAGTTGCAAGTTGGAAAGCGCTGACATCGATCGTGGAGCGCCTGAGAGCATCCCCGGGCTTACCTCCAGTGCGCAGTCTCAGGCAGAAGGTCTTGCAGTGCCCGCTGCCCTTGCAGGACACGCAGTGTGTGATGTGGCTGTCCAAGTCTTCGCTTGATTTTCATGCGCATTTTCGGAGAAACATGCCCGCGCTTGCCAAAGACTTGTGTCGCATGCGTGACACCTTTCGCGATGCCGTTTTCCTTGTTGGGCAGCGTTGGTTTCGCTTCCTCTTTGCCATGCAGAACCCGCAGGAGATATTTCTGCTGGAAGCAGAATTGCAGGAGGCCACGGAATTACGCAGCAGACGCCCATTAGGTGCAGGGTTCACGAGCGCTCCCTCACAAACTCTCTGAGGCACTTGGGACCAGTAACCTTCCCCAAAGAAGCTAACTCTTTCTCAGCAGGGTTTGGCGACTTTGGCTGGAGCAAACTGGCATGCCTTTTTCTTGGCCCCGTGAAGAACATTCGGGGGCGGCAGCCACGGGAGGCGCGTCTACTGAGGGCGGCGGGCCTGAGAGCCGCTCCCTGGAGTTTGTCAAAAAAAACAACAAAAGGAAAAATCCACCGCGCGCTTCTGCAGGCACAGCAGGCACAACATTTGCGAAACATAGTAAACCGGGCCCAGTGGGTTGCTCGTATCCCGGAGGTGTTTTCCCTGCAAAGAGAACGTGTCCAAAAAGGGAGGCCTCTGGCTTTGGCCCCTCAAAAAATAGGCTCAGGTTGAATTTCCCCAACAGTCCGGAACCTCCTCGAACCCAAAAGTCCCTGAAAGCCAACCCAAACCACCCCCAGAGCTTGCTTTGCGCAGAGACCAAGCTTCCGGCTGGCAAAACATGTCACGCGAGTCGGTTGCCAGCGCTCCGATCCGATCCGCCCCAAGGCTTGCTTTGAGACCGCAAGCTTCCAGGGGAAAACGTTCGATCCGATCGGCTTCGAGTTCACCTGGCAGGTCCTCACGGAGGGTTCGCTGGTCTACGTGCCGGGGGGAAGGTTCCACCTGCTGCACGCCTTGCCCCAGGACGTGAACGCCAAAACCGCGGAGCTGGCCGCTGAAGCGAAAGGAGCGTCAAACGTATGGCCCGGTTTTTGGGACCCGAAGGCCGCCTTGGGCCGCCCTTTTCAGGGGGATACCAAATAGGCCCCGAATTTTGACAACCAGACCAAATGTCTAGTCTAAGTGTCCCAACAAATGCTCAGTTTCCTTTTGGCTTCCCTTGAAACTTGAAAGCCGCTCCAAAAAACGGGTGCCCTTTTTCAAGGGCAACCCCAAATAGGAGACGGCCTCCTTCCCCTACTAAAATAGACTACGGCAAAAGGTTGGTACCCTTATTCTAACCTCTCTACTGGAGGACCTAGCATAATTAGGGTTGCTTAGCATTGGTCCATTGCTTGTCTAGGAAGACCAGCTGCCAAAGGTTCATCCTCGAAACCACGGCCCTAGCGGGAAGCCGGAAGATCAAGTCGCCTTTTGTTGTCCAATTGAAGGATAAGCTCCTTGAGTCTGTTAAGGAGGATACATATAGTATCACATGTACACATATATATATATACAAATATATATATATATACATAGAAATACATATATATATATATAAGTGTATATGATGTTACTTAGTTGCTTCTGTGCATATATCAAGCTTACTGGAGTTTGTGATTTTGCCAAAGTTGCGCTCCGAACATGCCATAGTTGGGGTTGGTGAATTATCCATTGAACACCGTGGGTGGCGATGGGTTATGTGTGCAAAGCTTCCTGGCACCTCAGCATGGGTCGGTTGGAAGGTTTGGCTTCGGGGTGAGGCCAATTTCTTTCAGAGATGTGGCGAAGTTGTTGAAGTCCGAAGCTCCATGCCGTTCGACCCTTGTGTCACAGAAACGAAGCAGCGTATTTGCTTGGTTGATTGCCTGTTTGCTTGTTTGCATGTTTTTGTCTGTTGGAACAAAGACAGGATGACGACTCCTTGGGTTACTAGTGCGATCTAGATCCAGTGGATCTGCGGGGAACAACTTGCTCATGAGGGAATGACCTCCATGGGTGATCCCTTGTTATCCCTTCTTTCCTAGGAAGTCCTAAACCGTTCATTCCCCACACCCCGGCAAACCAATTCGTTTTTGTGGGGTTCCTTTTGGAATGGTTGCCTAAAAGGGAAGCTAAAGGGAAAAGACATACAACTGGTCTATCTTCGGGACCCCAAATTATGGCTCCACTCAAGTGAGAATACGGATGCTCAAAAATGTTTCTTCGGCAGGGGACCGCAGGTTGTCGACTTTTCCATTGGGCAACCCATTTTGTTTCTTTGACTGCCACCCCCACATTGTGGGAGGGTCCCTTAAAAAAAGACACACCCAGTTCCCCCCCACTCCCTGAGTTCCGTTTCGGACTCTAGGCTTTTGGGTTGGACCATTTTTGTGGTAAACAAACACTAGGTGCCCCAGTAGTGCCCTTTTACCCTTTTGGGGGAGGGTTCCCTACCGAAAAAAGCAAACCGCTTGATGGAAAAGAGGCTCTGAGAAGGCGACTCGTCGCGAGAGAACTTCTCTCAGGTCATTGTCCTCAGCATTGGCCTGTCCAATCCCAACGAGGATTTGCTGACGGTCCGCACGGACACCTACAGGCGTGTCCAATTTGCCAGACTTGGGTCACCAAATTGCAGACCACTTTGAACACATCCGCGGAGCTCTCACAAAAATGGCAACCTCTCTGAAAGGCAGATTGACTTGCCGGGGAATGCAGTTTCTCCTGAAACAGATTGGTTGTCGGACAAAGACGGTATACAGTGGATCACCACACCTGCACGTGGCAACAAAGTCGTGAGAAGGGGCTTGTTTTTTCTTGCTTATGTTGGCATCTAGACACTTGGCTGATCAAAGCCAATCTGTTTTTCATTCCTTGGACTACAAAAGAGGGCCCGAAAGGCAGTGTATTTTCAAGTCGGACGGAGGATCGGTCAACCTTTCGTTTTGCCCGAGGGATCAGGAGGGAGATTCAAAGAGGGAAGAGAGGACAAAATGCAACATATGGAGACAGATGAAGCGATAGTATTTGGTGTCCCGAGCCTTTGCGAACTTGCCCGAACTGCTTAGTTTCTTTGAGATCGTTTGGGTATCGTCATCGAGCTGGAGGTATCTCAAACTAAGGATGTTGCAAAAACGGTTCTCACCTACGATTGCATCTCGACATAGGGGGACTCCGGAGAATGGCAACTTTCCCTTTGGTCAACACAACCCCAAGAGGTTATTCTGGGGTCATTAGTTTGACGGTTTCTGGGAGTTGTCAATGTCAGAACATTTGGTTGTTTCCCTTTAACCCACCACTTAGAGGGTGACTTTGATCATGGTAAAATAATGAGGCCAGTTATTGTCCAAGAAAGACTCCCTGCTTTGAGCTCACACGAACGAAATCTAAGGGGTACCATAATTCCCAAATCCTTACGATACGAATATTATACTATCATAAGATTATGTTTAACATAGGCTAATATATGATATATTGTTATGTTAGGAACTATGATATATTATTCTTTAACGCTTGGCTAATGTAATCCTATGAGTCAAAGTTCCCCACAACTCCATCATAATCATTTTGGCCTTGTTATATACTTTCAGCGGTGGATTCTTCGTTCCACAACACTTTAGCTCCCACAATTTGATGTAGCTGGTTTCCCGTCAATCACTAGTAACCTGGCAATGACCTGGTTATAACCAGGGTGTCCAGCCGCTTACTAAGTAGCCAAGAAGTGTTGACCCTGGATTAATCAGGCCCCAATTTGTTTCTAAGGGCGTCCCTGCAATTCCCAAATTTTTAATGGCTCCGACTTTTGCCGGGGCTCCCACGCCTTTCAAAAACGGGACGGGGTCACTGACATCAATCCGGGGTCATGTCCGTCTTTCTCGTTGGTGGAGGTGACTCGGGACTCGGGGTGGTAGAAACGCCTCTTAGGGTGTTGGTCTTTGAGGCGATTTTCTACTATTGTTGTATATTGGTTTCTATCAGGGAGTGGTTGAGGGATTGTTGGGTGCGTGGGGGGGGAAGCTGGAATTTGCCGCTCGGTTTTGGAAGAAGGAAAGCGGCTTGGGATTCCTTTTGGGAACTACACAAGTTGAGCAAGAAGGCTGTCCACGCAGCGTAGCCAAGTGAGAATGTCTTGTTTGGGGGCCCCCCTTTTCGGGTGTCCTTTTTTTCCAAGGAGACCAAAAGGAAAGCCAGCATTTTGGGCGACACCCAAGACTCATTTGTATTTCCAGGGAACCAACCAAAAATAGCATGTTGCTCCGGGCCGCCACGCCACCATGCCCTCCCAGCCATCCCACCCACCACTGAGCCACCACCACTGACCTCCCGACCGCTCCCAGCCAGCGACCCGAGGCAGGCCTTCGAGGATCAAAATCTGCCGTGGTGGGACGTGGAGGGCCAGGTGGCCGCGCTGCCGCCCCACTTCCCGCGGAAGCCGGAGGTGGTCTTCGCGGAGAAGGCCAGGAAGTCCTCTCGTCTCGTGCGGTGAGAAATATTGTGGTGTCCTTAAGCGTTCGGAGCCTGTTTATGAAAACCCGAGCGTTGAGGCTGCCTTGAGTTGGCTCAAATTCAAAAAAACGACAACGGCCGTGTTGTGAGCAGAAAGGCTTGCCGGCAAAAGTGTGGCAAAAAGAGCTAGGTCCCCCAGCTAGGTGCCAACTTTTACCGTTTCTTTTTTGGTTGGTAGGGTTCCCCGACTAAGATAGACTACAGAAAAAATTGGGTATCCTTCTAACCTCTCTACTGGAGGACCCAGGTCCTTGGGGGATTTTTTGCTTCGAGATTCCTCACATCCCGGGCGTTGGTCGCTTTTGGGGCTTGGTGGCCATGTTTCCTTGGGTGAGCCACGTCCTCAAAGCCGATTCCGGGTAGACAAAGGGATGGTCCCAACCAGAAATTGGGGCCTCCGCCGCCTTTTTCGCGTCTTGAACCATGGGTCTGGGTGGACCATTTCAATAGCGATCGGTTTGGATTATGACTCGGGTTCGTTTGGCTAGAAATCGATTCCTCATTTTTTGAGTTGGACTTCAGTCACTTGCTGGGTTTGTTTGCCATTTGGATGGCAACCAACAAACTGGTGCTTTCCAGTCGTAGTATTATATTTACCGCCATGTCGTTTTCCAGAAGGTCTTTGCCCGGTTCAATTTTCGTGGGACCACGGCACCCCGGATATTCATTCCAAAACAGAGGAATCAGAACAAAGGCCGCTTGTTTTGGTTAATCTGTGAGGGCCCCCCCCCCCAAAAAAAAAAAGGAGCAAACAGCACTGGAAGTTTTCCGGATACACCAAAAAACACAAGGGAAGAAATCACGTATTTTGAGGAGCCAGGAGAAGTACACTGTCCCACCAGCGGCAACCGCTCCCTTTCTTCAGGGGTGGCCCTTGAATGTCAATGGGGCGAGGTCTTCAGCAAGCATGCGCGAATGCTTTTGCCTCCCATTGGCGACTGGGGGTTTGCTATCTCAAAGGTGGTGGTGGTACAAAACGTGGGGGTGTTTGGTTGCTGCTTTCTGTACCAACAATGATGGCCACTGTTCCCTTAGGAGCTTTCCCGATCAGACGGCGCACTTGGCCTCGGTTCGCTGATGAAATGCAAGCTCCTGTTTGGAGCTTGACAAGCCCATTTATACGCAGCGCATTCGTAGAAACAAACCAAAAGGCACCCCTTCTTTAGATGGTTTAAAGGAAAACCAACCGGACACATTGTTTTTAGGTGGTTTAAAGGGAAAGTCACTGTTGTTGTTCGTTTTTAGTGGGCTGCAGTTCTACCGGGAGTGTTTTGCAAGCCCATACCGTTTGGGTTGGAAGGGGAAGCCAACGGGATACCCTAGGGTTTGGGGTGCCAAATCCGCTGCGAGGACGCTTTAGACTCCAAGGGTTTGGCCGCCATCCACCGCCGCGTGCTGCAGAAAGACGCACTGCGCCTCACCATGCTGCTGCATCAGGGCGCGGAGGTGCACCGCTTATCCCATTGGTTTCGTGATGGCTTCCCCACTTAAAAAAAGATCGAGGCAGGGTACGTCAGGTAAGTTGTTAGTAAGCCTGGTGAGACAACTGAGTGAACGAAGACTTATAACCATGGCTTTGGGTATGGGCAAAATTAGACCATAAATTGGAGCGCAGGTTTTTTGTCAACTTGTTTCCATTTACCAGGGCAAGCCTCTTTGCGGTTACCCTATTTTTGACCCACCCGTTTGTTCTATTTTTTGCCATGGCTTGCCCCACATGTTCTGTGGGTGAGGTGCTCGTTGCCTTTTGCACCCGCGGTGTTTGTTTGTTTGGAGCCTGTACCTTGTGTTGGGTTGGTTTAGAGGGAAACCAAAAGGAAACCGAAGCCATGTTGGGGGCCCCGAAAGTGCAGTGTGCCACCTGAACTTATTTGTCTCAAAGGGGGGTGCCAGGTGTCTTATTCGTTTCCCTGATGCCAACCAAAAAGGGGGGTCCACAATTTTGAGAAAAAACCCTCATCCAGGTGGTTATCAATCCACCTTGGGTTGCTTCCTTGCATTTTGTTGAAAGAGGGTTGGGTTCCATGTTTGCCAACCAAGCGTTGCCAATTCCGGACACCACTTCTCTGGGCGTCAGTAGGTGTGACTTGTGGTTTCACCCAGAGAACCAGTTTGTGGACTTTCCACCTGATCTTGGCGTGGTTCCACTTTCGGAGATCCTGCCCCGTTTGTGTTGCAGCTTTCAGGAACACTCAGAGGAACGCCCAAGAAACGTTGATTGGGCTTCCAAGAAAGACACATCGTGGCCCATCAACTCGGGAAGTGAGCTTTATTTCAGCAACTCATGGGTACAGTTGGTTTGTGGAAGACATGGCCTACCACAAGAGTACAGTTGACTTGAGTAAACTACAGTTGAGTAAACTGAGTAAGTGTTGCCTGCCCGCCTTCTGCTTCTTGGCCTAGGATTTGGTTGACAGAGCCAAAGCTTTGGGCGATCCTGATCCTCAGGTAAAGTGCCGACTCGAACTCCAAAATCGCGCGTTGATCACCTTCCATTGGCCTCAGAGTATGCCGCGGCTGGTGTCAAAGAAAATCCTATCGAACTAGTCATAGTTACGTATTTTTGTCCGCAGGTGAGCAATTTCTTCCGTTCAGCCCTCTGACCATGGATTGTTTTTTGCCCCATGGGATTGGAATATCGGCGTTTTCCTCGTGGTTTTTCCAAGCAATGGCCATACACCACGGGCCTTATCCAGCCCCAAATGGAATCGATCTGGCCGTCTTGGCCAGGTCGACCTGCGCACCCGCTCCCTGCCCAAGCGGCCCTCCGTGACAGCGCTGGGTCTGGCGGCCTGTTGTGTGGAGGAGGCGTGCCCGGAGGTTTTGGGTGCGGTTTCTGGATAGCCAGGGAATTGGGGAATGACCCTTAAACATCCAAATGGTTTCCTTTCAGCGGACCAATTCCTGGGTTCATTCCCACATGTCCTAGTGTTTTGTTGCGGGGTGAACTATTATTTACTAAAATGGCGACTTTGAACGCAAAAAGTGACTAAAGTCAACCCCCCCTGAAAAGGTGGTGTTCCTTTGTGTGTCCCTTTAAAACAAAGAAAAAGGCGGCGTATCGTCAAATCAAGACCACCATCCATTTGTTTGGTTTCCTTTTCGTTTCCCTCTTGAAGTGCGTTCTATCTTTAAAAAAGTTTGTTTTGGTGTTCCGTTCAGCTGTCTAAAATATGGGCATTCCTTGACAAACCGGTTAAAACAGGCATGTCCTTTTCGCAGATACTCATATGCATGTATTGTACTGGGTCCTTAGATAAGCTTGAGCCACAAGGCATGAACTTCGGCCATTTGCAGAGTGCCTGGGGGGACCTTGGGGATGCTTAGAGGGGTGTTTGGCGTGGGGCCGCTGTTGAATGTGAATGGCAACCCCCGCAACAAAACGCAATGGCCAAGAAATCGAGAAGGTTGAGTGAAGAGATGGGAGTTAGGCGCCTTGCGTTGTTCAGCTGTGTGACAGTAGGCTTTGATTGCGTGTAAGTTACAGACCTGGATGTTGCTGATCCTGCCAGCTTTTCGAGTGCTTCTTCACCTGCCAACTACTTCACTTGCCAACTCATCCTGCCAACTGTTCGGGTGTTGCTTCACTATCCTAAGCCACAAGCTAGCTTTCTTTTGCACATTCTCTTCTCGGGTCTTAAATCTTCTTCTTTTTCTGCGGCGGGTAGGCCGGACGCACCCCGCTCAAGCTGCGGCGCCGCACAAATGCCATATCTCGTCCTTATGAGGTGGAGCACGCTATTCTTATGTTATATCCTTACCTCTGTGGCGTGTCAATGAGATCCTACCTCCCGCTTCATCCCCAAATCCTCATCCTATAGCAGAATAAAGGGAATTGGGATAATACTGCAAGCCTAGGATGAAAGATCATATGTCAACTTGCTGGCAAATCAAGGGTTTTATTGACAGGTGAAGAGATGACTCCCGCAGCACCGGCGGCAAAATCGCAACTTGCAAGTGCAAAGTTCGTGTGCGAAGTGCATTCCCATGTTTCCGGCTGCAAGATCGTAAGTTCTACTCAGAAAAGAAGGTGTTCAATTTAACCCAATCAAGTTGGTTTCCCGAATTGAACCCACCAAAAGCGAATAACTTTTCGCAGAGGGCTCCTTCCAGCAAGTTGTATTTCCCCCGGCTCGGTGCCCCTGAAGGTGACCTCGGATTCCCAAGAGTGATCCACTTTTTGCCGAGAGAGGGGTCCATCAGAGCCACCGGTTCCCCACGAGTTCCCAACTGTTTTGCCGAGAGAGGATCGTCAAACCAACTGGTCCTAACCAACCGGTTCTATTCTTGCCTCAAACGGGCAATCATGTCCCTCTCGAGGCATTGTGACCTTGGAGCATCGGGCTTTTAATCAGAATGGGCAGCTTGTGTGCAAAGCCGTTCGCAATGCGATGATGCGCAAGAGGCCATCAAGGCTTGAAAGACGCAGGCGCCAAAAGAAGGCTGCTCCCAAACCATCCGTTGGTCGGCACCCCGCAGGAGGCCGCCTTGACCCTGACCGCCAAGCTCCTGGAGTTCCGCGCGGATCCACGGGCCGTGGAGTTCCCCGAAGGCACCGCGCCCCTCTCAGCCCGGGGCCCCGGGGCGCCGGAAGGGGCGCCGTTTTTTGGGTTTTTTTTTGGGGGGAGGGGGGGGGGGTGAAGTTAGACTTGGGCGATGTGAATCCACGAAAGTCCCCTTTTTTGGTGTTAGGTTGCCAGAAAAAATAGAGAACCTGCCTTATGATGTTTGGCACCGCGAAGAAAGCCTCATTTTGTGTTGTCTTGTTGGTTTGCTATCACTTTTGGAACCCAGACCATATCTATTTAGGGGGGTCATGTATGAGCAAAATGGGAACCAGATTGGGAACCCCCCCAAAACAAAATGGCATTCTTTACTGAAAATCTGCGAAGGTATGTAGGGTTGTCTTGTTTTAGGGTACCCACTTTTGGGGTCGCTTTTGTCAGGGACATCAATGCATGTGAACGCCACCATTATTATTAGAATTGGGGGGGGCATCCGCTTGATCCTGATTAGTTCCACATGTGTTTTGTCTGACTCAGCTTGCCAGTTTTGGTTGATGTTCATCATGTCGCCCGTTTAAAACGCACGTTCCTGAGTTGGGGGAAGACACCCCAATTCAGCACTTGGCCGAAAGGCTTTGTTAGGAATTGGGTCGACCCAGTAAACCAAATCCATTTAGGTGTGCATCTCCAAGTGGCGTTCTGCTTTTCAGGGAGCCGCGTATCTCAAAAGTGGTTGGGGAACATGAATGCCCACCAAATGAAGGGCCCCTCATTAAATTGGTTTCCTGGAAAACAAAGGTAACGGGTACAAACAAATAACACACACACACACACACATGGTGGTTAAAATGTGTTCGAAAATGCGGCGGAACTCCTAAAATGTGTATTGTCCTTTTGGCGCTTCCCTTGAAACCAGCCCCAAATTTGGGATGCCGAGCCTCAAAAAGGCTGGTGTCTTTTTGGGTTACCCAATTTTGACCATCCAAAAGGGGTGCCCTACAAAATGACACATGTTGCCACCCTCAAAAAGGCAAACACCCCCATATCTATAAGCAACGCGTCCAGTGGCTTACGAATATGCAAAATGTTCCCCTGTTGGTTTCAAAGGGAATCCGTGACTGGAAATGAGTTTGCATGTCTTTTGGGGACGAAGAAGCAGAGGGATAAGCTTAAGCAAATGGTACCAACTCCCGCAACACAGCACTCAAGGGACCGACCCTTTTGGGGGCTTTCTGGGGTGTATGTATTTATGTATATATATATATAGAGAGAGATACATGTGTCACATACAAATTTATACATAAAAGATGTGAATGTATATATGTACACATGTACATGTAACAAATCTATTTAAATATATACGTGGGCTACCCTCTACACGTCCCGGCGACACCACCAGAAACCCTCCGCGTTCGATCGCGTTCCGCGTTCGGCGCCGAGGCGGTGGCGGTGGCCGGGCGCCGTAGCGCCTCCTTCGCGGCGCGGATGAAGATGCGCTGCAGCGCCAGCGAGGAGCTGCGGCCCGGCGGGATTTTTCTCGTCGGTTCGGCGCCACGCGTGGGGAGGGGGAGAGACCTCACTGCCGAAAATCCCCGAAGCTCCGGGTCCTTTTTGTGGGGTTTTGCCCCGGTTCAAAATAGCTGGCTTCGGTTTTTTCATCTCCGGAGAAGAATTAAGAAGCCAAGCCAAACCTGGGTTCCCACAAAAAAAAGACAAGGTTGTTGGGTTAACGGGGAGAAACTCGCGACATCGAGTTGGGCTCTGTGAATTGTTGGTAGCTTTCAAACCGGAATGGAGGCATTTCCCCAGAAAAGCACCAGGAACACGGGGGGAAAAACAAAAAAACAAAACGGCAACTCACGCCCGATCGACCGCCGTTTCGGGCTTCAGTGGCCATTTGAGTGGAACACAAAAAGTTCGAACTTTGTCTGGCCAATCCACTCAGGAAGTGAGTGGTGGCTTTGACAATGGAAACTTTGGATCCAAGCAGACCGCCAGTTTTTGGATCGGGGGAGTTCCTTCAGGGGCTCATCACATTAAGTCACTCCCTGGGACCATTCATGTTGAAGGTTGTGTTTAAAGAAAAACCAACAGGACAGTCCGTTTGAGGGTCCCCTCGTTTAAGACACGTCCAGTTGCTTACTTCCCTTTCAACTTTTTGTGGGAGGGGGATTGAAATTTTGAGGCACCCGTCAGAACTCCAGGGCCTTTCGGTTCTGACAGTCGATGTCCTTCAATCGTCGCTTCCCTTTGTCCATGCCTGGCTGACTTTTGCCGGGGAAGCTTCCATTTCTCCAAGTTGGAGCGCTTAGGAGTTCGCCATATACCAAAAGTGGAAGGCTTGCACATGGGATGAACGAAACTCTAAGTTAAGACTTGTATGTTTTCCCCGGCACCCGTTCTGTGTTCGTTTTGCAGGGTTGCTCTGAGCCTGTAAAAGATGAAGCAAGTAGACAGCATTCGTTTGGCTCCCTTTGGTTTCCATTTACCGGAGACCCACTGTCCACCCTGCCAGGAATTTCAAATCCACTCTGTTTTGTGTGGTTTCCCCCTTCAACTCAACCAACAGAGTTTCTAGTGGGGCCGGTAAACTACAAAAAATGCCGTAAAGAGGCCCACTTCTGTGAAAATCAAACTGGTTGAAGTGAATGGGGAATGAACCCAAAAATTGACTTTATAGATACAGGGCCGGTTTTCTTTTGCCTTGGCCGCTGGGCAAGGTAGCGACGGCAAAATCGTGCTGCGCGCACGATTTTGGGCGCTGTGCCGCTTGAAAGCGTTTGCCGAGGTATGTCTGATCGCAAGACTACCTATAGAGTCTTCATAAATCATTAAACATCGGGTAATGTACCCATGGTTCTGGGGTGATGACACCATGTTTGAAAGGCATGGAGACTCAAGGTGCCTGATTCGAATTCAGTGACGTCTTGGACCACCACTTGTCCCGTGTTGTTCCGCAAAATTAGTATCAACGCCTTTCATATGGGTGTGCTTTTGAGGGTAGCCCTTTTGTGCTGGTTTTAAAAGAAAGAGCAAAAGGCAAACCACCATTTTGGGGTCCCCTAAGAAATACCCATACATGTGTCAATGTTGGAAGACCCAAACATGTTCAAAGAAACGAAAAGGCCCGAGCAGAAGCGTGGCAGTTTAAGTCTTGACACATCTGATTGATGTTGACCTGGGATTAATCCAGAGGACCTCAGCTTATTAAGGGTGTCCGAGTACAGAGGTGTCCCTTTCTAGGGGACCCACAAAATGGTGGTTTACCTTCTGGTTTCCCTTTAGAACCAAGCAAAAAGGGGGTCTCTCAAAGAAAGACGCACACGCTTTTGGGGGTTCAACTCTTGGTTGGTGTCCGGATGAATCCGAAATCATGAAGAAAGCTGCAAGTTGGGTGCCATATACTTAAGGGATCTTAAAGGGGCATTGTGCGTCAGGTAAGTGGTTGTAATATCAATGGTGAGATAACCCACAAAAGCCATGGTCATGCTCTACTACTGGACCCATACTTGAACGGGCAGGGTACTCAGTAAGCGGTTAGTAAGCCAGGCTATAACACAAAATGCCATGGTTATAAGTCTCCGTTCAGTGAGTTTTCTCACCAGGCTTGCTAACCGCTTAGCTGGCGTACCCTGCCTCGATCGCCCCTCAAAGTAGTTGCGACAGCACCCGCCGGAGCGCCCTTCGACCTGAAATCCCCATGGCCGGTTACCAGCCAGAGGGTTCTGCCTTCGACTTCAAGCGTCCTGTTTTTTTGCTGGATTCGATGGGCACAGAATGAGAAGCGGAATGACCCTGAAAAAAAGCACGCCCTATATGGTTTCCTAGGTACATTTTCCAAGACCTTGGGTCATTCCCTGAGCACCAGGATAGGCCTCAAATCAGCTGGCAGGGACGAATACAAAAGAACTGAGTTTTCCAGATGTTCACCATCTTGCATGCTTGTTTTGCAAAAGCAGGGCCTCATGAGTGGTTGTGTTTCTGTTTTTCCTAGCTAAATTGGAGTGCAAAAGTTCACAAGGTGAGTTACAGTTCTGCTTCACAAAAATGTTATTTGCAGCCTCCAGGATGAACATCCCGATAGAACGGGAGAGCCATTCCCGCGCCGGCGCTGCCTTTTTTTCCGTAGCTCTGAGGAAGTCTGCACTTACATTGAGGGCAGCTGTGGTTTCGTTTTCTGCGGATACCCTTTTTGGGGGTTAGTGTAAAAAGGAAGCCAAACGTGACCCACTCTCCTAATTTAAGACAGAGATCAAACACTCTTTCAAACGAAACCAGACAGCAAGAGCATCAGGGGACCCCACCACACACCCAAAGTTTAAGGTGCGGCAGCTGGAGTCACGCAGATTGTAGTTGTGTGGTTTCCAGGTTCCCCTTAAAGCAACGACACCTGCGCCTTGTCCCGATGAGGTACAAAGTTACAACGGAGCTCGCAATCACTTTCTAGCCTTTTCCCGTGCTTGTGGCTTGTCCACAAGACTTGAACACATATTGACCATAGAATATGTTAGATGGTCCGTGGTCGGGTGCCAACCCGGCAATATTCAAGCACCTCATTTGAAAGTTCATGGTACAATTGTTTAGGCTTGTCTTCACCCCCTCGGTTAGTCTCCTCCGTTTGGTTGGCTCTTCCTCCCCCTAAAAGAATTGCCGTCATCCCCAAAAACGCACCCACCACCAAAGCCGCAATTCGGCGTGGCCCTTTCCTCAACCCCCCCAAAAAAAGCCGCCGGGACGCGTGTCCGGTGCATGGCGTGCCGGGGTCATGACCAAGAACGACAAGTCCTCTGCGGGAGCTGCACGGCAAGAGTGTCGGGGGAAATATAGGTTCCAGGTGCCCCAGCTAGCCCAATCTCACCAACTGTTTTGGTTGGGAGGGCTCCGCTAGTAGAATAGACTACAGAAGAAAAGGGTACCCTTATTCTAACCTCTCTACCGGAGGACCTAGGAACGGTTTGTTCCCTGTCAGCTGTTTCTGGCTTCATGGGCAAAAGGCACTGAGGCCCACTAACAAGTGTAGTTTTGGTGGAACCAGAAGCCACTGGGTTGCAACACTAGTAAAAAGTGAAACCACTTCAAGAATATTATGGGAATGCAAGCAATAATAATAATAGTATTTGAAAGTTTGGGAAGTGCTTTCCCTGTTGCGAGCAAGCAGCCAGTACGGTCAATTGTCATGAGAAAGGATCTTAGAATGCACAATGCACTTTCTGGCTTTCCACGCTCGCTTTTCTCGTTCCTGCACTTTGAACTTTTTGGGTTTGGGCCGTTTTAGTCAAACAGTTTGCTCCACTCAGGAACTGAGTACGTGCACAGGCTACGCGGCCTGCGCATGCGGAAAACAGCGCATGTATTCATGATGTCCAGACCCCGTGAGTTGCATTCTTCAGATGGCTATGCCGCCAACTCACGGACGTCGCCTTGTGTGTGTGTGTGACTTGCATGTTGTGTCTTTGACTGGCCAACAGACGGGGTTGCTCTTGTTGATTGCACGCAATGGAAATAACACTGGACCCCCGTGTAAATCGCTGCCATGTTCAAATCATACACACACACACACCTCAATATATATATATATATACACATGTGATATCCACCGAAGCCCAACGCAATTTGAATGCCCAGATTGCTAAGTAATCAAAGCAAAGCCTAGCCGCCTCACAAGACCCTGAGCGCCAGAATCAACAGCAAAGCTGGGGACAAGCGGTGCCCTGATCATACATAGTTACAACTGCTTTGGCACATCCTACAGCGAACGCACGAGCTCGCCTGCGGAGTAAAAGGATCTCACTACCATCAAGACCCCTGAAATTGAAATTCCATATTTCACCAGATACACTGGTGCAGACACAAACACACACACACACTCCCCAAAGAAGCCTTTGGGGACTTCAGGGGATGACTCTTCAGCTAGGCTTCTACATCACCTCTGGGGCTTTGTGCTCCCAAGGAAGACTGGTTTTTGCTCTCACGCAAGGTAACATGGATGTTGTCAACTGTTAAACCGAGCGTGCGGTTGCCGGTCAACATCACGGGCCCCTTCGTCTGTCTCTTGTCGGCGCTTGCTTGTTCTGTCACACGCCTTGCGATCGCGATACCCTCACATACGGCAGCACTAATAAACAAGTTTCTGCCTGGAAGGCTCTGCTTTTTGCAGAGTTTCCTCCATCGCCATTTTTTGGATCCTCCGAAAGTGCGACTTGACCAGAAACCAGCAGCGAATTGCAACTTTCGATGGGGTTCCATCCAATTACTCACTGGCCCAAAGCGAATCGACCGGATCTCATCTTTTGGCTACCAACTCATGGTCCATGTCTAGTCATGGCCTCAAAAGGTTGTCCTTTGTGGGCCCTTTGGGCAACTGAGCCACAATCAAAACCCGGGTAAATGAAGGTTAGTAAGGGACAATCCCAGTGCGGATATCCGCCTTCTTCATTATTGAAGCATTATACTGGGTAGCCCATTTTGATACTGATCGGACTTGATTGTGACTCATTTCACGTGAGACATGTTTGTCTTTTGGTTTGCACAGGTCCCCCCCCCATTTTGCACCAAAGGGGCGGGGGTTCAGAAAGACACACCCTGACTAGATCTTGACTGCTATTGGGTTGGATCTTTAGACTTTAACTTTGTGGGAGATCAACGGGTGTTCCACTAAACCCGCAAAAAGTTGTCCACTTTTTAGCAGAGGGCCCGCAACAAGTTGTCCACTTTTTGCAGAGGGGTCAACAGCAACCCAGTTTTGTCAAGAACCACTAGAAGTTAAAATCGTTTAGCAGGGGAGCAGAGTTCGCCACCGAGAGATGGCCTTCCGAAGAACCTTCTCCGCTCGAGGCCCACTCCTTCGCGGGGGCCTTCGCTGGCGCGCTGCAGACGGCCTTCTGGCACCCACTGGACGTCTTGAAGACCCGCAACCCGCCAGGGGAACCGAATAAATAGCACAACTGAGCCACAAACAAACCGAAACACGGGTCGATTAATGTGGGGTCAACATTTGCATGTCGTTTCCCCTGGTGGTTTTGACGGGAATCTGTGACAAGAACTGGTTTCTTACTTTTTCCAGACTCAAGTAACGGGCGTGTCTTTTTGATACGACTCCCAGGGTTCTTTCGATACGTTCCGTGGTTACATCTGGTTTCGCCTCGTATGGCTGGGAAGGTTCCGGGAAAAGACGCAACCAAACACTTGAGCCACGTGCTCAAAACCAGATTAGATGAAGGTTAGTAAGGGACAATCCCAACCAGAAATAGCTGCGGATATCCGCCTTCTTAATTCTTGAAGCATGGCTCTGGGTAGACCATTTTAATACAGGGTTTTGATTCTGACACTGGGCGTGTCTTTTTGGGAGTTGGTACTTCTATGGCTTCTTAGGTGGTGCGAAATGGATTTCGCATCCATCCAGACTACCTCCAAGACCCATACCTGCTTCCATTTACTGGAACGTGTTGTTTTTCGCTCTGTTGATTTTGAAGGGAATCGATTTCACTACGTACTGCAAATAGTTGCTCGTTTTTTCCTAGGGGGCGAAAAAAAAGCAAATGGAAGCAACATGTAGTGTCTTTTTGGGAGTTGGTATCCCCCTTTTTCCAGTAGTTGCAACCGAACGCGAATCGACCAGATCTGACATGTTGGTTTCCAGTTTTGGTTCATAGTTCAATGAGGTCCCCAAGAGGTTAACTTAATTTAAACTATCATTTCTGGGCAAGTGAGATTTGGTACCCCCTTTTGAGATTAGTGTAAGGCTAGGTCCCCCAGTAGTGCCCTTTCTCACCCTTTTTCGGGGGAGGGTTCCCCTACTAAAATGGACTACAGAAAAAGTTGGTACCCTTATTCTAACCTCTTTACTGGAGGACCTAGTAGCCCTCAGCTGATGACACAAAACGCCTGGGACGGGGAGGCGGATGCATGCGGATGCTCGAAAAGGGCCGCAAACCGCCTCAGCCAAGCTGCCAGGGCATCGTGGAAACGACGCCACTGTCAAGGAATGTGCTGAGCAAATCATCCGACAGCTCCCCAAGAGGTTTGTGAGTCTAAGACACTCGGGGCGAAACATAGTGTGGATGGACCAAATCCATTCGCACCACTTTGAAACCATGGTTGCAACCATTGTTTGTTGGTATTTACAGGGGAATCAGATAATCATCATTCCAGGTTTCTTAGGTGGAGGATTTTGTCCATCCACAGTAATATTCATAGCATCCCAATCTCACTCCCTGAACTCTCTTTCGGACTTGAGTCGCGTTTTTGGGTTCGGTTGGCCAAATTTGAAATGTTCCATGACCAATCTCCACTGGATCAGTGAGCCCACTTCGGCCGTGCAAACCAACGACGCCCCCCCCCCCCCTCGTTGTAAAAAAAAAAAAATGTTTTCGGGTTGTTTGGCCTTTGTTGGCAAAAAGCCCGAAAAAACGGGGCCCTGGCCAGAACCGGCCCTTAGCCATGGCCCAGTTCCCATGAGCATGTCGCTACTGCGGGGGAGAAGGGAAGGGACCCGCACGTCCGGGAGCATGGCGAGGTATGCAGGTCCGGGACGGCACCGTGGGCTCCGTGCACGCCTACGGCTCGCTGCGGCAAGCCGTGCAGTCCACCTGGCAGGAGCCGAGTTCGGTCCCCCGAAGTGGCCGGGGCAAAAAAATCCCGCGTTTTGGGGTATCCCCAGCGAAGATTTTCTGGGGGGCGTTGAAATAGGGCCCAACAAAAATGGAGTGTCCAATTCTGAACCTTTAGCAACTGGAGGGTTCCTTCTTTCTTTTTGTCAAGCAGCAGTTCTTCACTTGCAGGTCGCAGTCTGGCCCAGAAAGATGGGCTTCTCGTGTCGGGTTCCCTTGCGGACCCAAAGAGGGTGCCGAGCCTCGACAAAAAACATAGCCCCACAGTGCCATGCCTGGCTCAGGAGCTTCGAAGCAAGCGAAAAATCCGCTCCTCTGATGGCGGGTTCCATATGTTTTTTGTGCGGAGGTCGAAGCTGGAAACCCCAATCAAAAGAACAACCACCCTTGGGCGATGTTCCAATTTTTGACACAGCATTAGATCCCAGGTCGGCAAGGGTGCTCCCTTTGGTCTGTTGACCCCGCATGAATAAACCACTGTTTATTGATATGGGGGTGTTCCCCTCCAAAAGTGATAAATCCCCCACTAAAACCAGGCCCCATATTAGTAAACAAGGGTTTATTAATCCGGGGTCAACATTATATGCTTCAAGGGTCCCGCCAAAATGGACACCTCATATATTTCTACATGGTCCCGCCGAAACAACAACTTGAGTGCGAAGGGATCGATATTTTAGGGGTCGGCAAGAAAACCAAGAGGAAACCACTTTCATTGACGATCCCTCTATTTTGGAGACGTATCCACACATGGCTATGAATTGTTTATTGGGAACCTCCTCAAAAGTGGTTGGCGCACATGAACCCCCACCGTATTCTCATGTCCACCAAAGGGTCCCTAATGAAAGTTTGCATCCTTGTGGTCTTGTCACCTCGGGCACGTACCTCTGCCATAAACTCTAAACTGGGGTATCTACCTATCTATGGCGTTCATAAGGGGTATATTCGGCCACATATCAAGGGCACCTACTCCAGGAGCACATTGCCCTTAGATCGACTCTACCCAGGACGGCGCGCGGGGCTTCTTTCGAGGCGCACCACCGGTCGGACATACCTGAAGCTCTCCAAGTGTGAATCAGGGCTCGGTACACATAGGGAAAAACATGCTGATGCAACACAATACAAACATGTATGTAGCTCAGAGGATCGATGCTTCCGGCTGTCATGCCCATTTCTTGCATCACTGCATCCATTCTGGGCATGCCGACGTGACACAAGGGGGGGGGGGAGGTGACCTCACCCGTGATTTAAAAAAAAAGAAAGAAGAAGGTTGGCTTCAGGCTGGCAAACCCTTACAATTGGCCCAGCGGCTTTCTTCGCCATGGACATTATCTGCGGCGCCCTCCCGCGTGGACTGAGGTCCCTGAACGGCTACTAGGTCCCCCAGTAATTAGTGCCCGTTTATCCTCTTTTGGGGGAGGGTTCCCCTAGTAAAAAATAGACCACAGAGAAAAAATCGGGTGCCCTCATTTTACCTCTCTACTGGAGGACCTAGCCTTTCCCTGGGCAAGTATTCCCGATTGCAATTAAGCGTAAGAGCTCACTCCCTGAGTTGGGACTTTCACTTTTTGGCTTTGGACCATGGGGGTAAACAACCGGATTGATCTTTTGTTTGGCCAGTCTCATCAGGAAGTGAGTTGAGTATTGCCCATGTTGGCGGCAAACAACAAGTTTGACTCTTTGTTTTGGCCAGTGCACTCGTTCGGAAGTGAGATGAGTATTCCCCATGGGCAGGGATTCCAAACTTAGAAACTGAGCAGGCAAGTTAGGGGTTCCAGGGTTTCCAGTTACGGCAATCGAGGGGGTAGCCGCTATCACAGAAGCCGGCGGCAGGCGCTTGCCACGGCTTTCGGTGGCAGCCAAAACTTGGAGCCTTCAACACCCAGGTCCCTTTGTTGTTTTCAGGTCCGGCTTTTTGGGGGTGTCATGTGGCACCTTCAGAAATTGAGGGCTCCCCTTGGGAGTTTGTTGCATGGCTCGACAAGGCGTCACTTGCAACACCGAGCCGTGGCGGCCGTGACGCGTGCAACGCTCGCGGCTCCTTCAGGTGTGCTGCCCAACATCTTGGGATCCTCTTTGGCCTGGGGCTTGCAGATGCCGCTCTACCAGCAGTTCAAGATCTTCGCACGCAGCTCCAAGGCGGAATGGAGAGGGTAGTTTGGTGGTTCAGGGGGGTGTTGTTCGGGGTGAGTGTGGAGTTGTTGGTGTTTGTTTGTTTGTTTGTTTGTTTGTTTGTTTGTTTGTTTGTTTGTTTGTTTGTTTGTTTGTTTGTTTGTTTGTTTGTTTGTTTGTTTGTTTGTTTGTTTGTTTGTTTTTTTGTTGTTGTTGTTTTTTTTCCTGGGGCTTCCCATCCTCAAAACCATGCAACCCAAACCACCAATCAAGGGTTACCTGAAAAATCTCGCGCGCCGTTTCGCTCGTTGCTCGCTAAGGGAAGAGCCACGGCCAAGTGTCGCCTTTTTGTTCGTGTTTCGCATAGCCAGCTTTTAAGAGCACAGAGAACAAATGAGCCAGGCGTGCTAGCTCACTTCCTGAGTTTTTGGACTTTAGTCCCTTTGAGGTTTAGTTGCCATTTTGGTGGTAAACACAGAGTTTGATTCCTTTTTTGGGCCAGTCCACTCGAGCGGAAGTCAGAGATTGCGCAGGTCGATGCCCATCTCGCTGCCAAAGATAGCGCCTGTTCTTTGGCGGCTGGCGCGGCCACCAATGTGGTGCCCCGGCCGTCGAATGCTGGGGTTCCCTGAGGACCCAAAACTGTTTTTTTCTCTCTCGTTGCCGAAAACAAGTTCTTGAACTTAGAATATTGAACTGAAGGCAAACAACAACTTGCGAAGTTTCCACTTTCAGAGCCAGAACCCATTGGCGGTGTTTTTTTGCATTTAGCCACCAAATGGGGGTGCCTGCAAGTGGCGAGCCTGGACTGGAGAAGTTGCTTCAAAGAATCTTGCGCACAGAGTTTTCCTGCGGGTCTGCGCTTATGGCCTTACAGAGATTTAGGACTTGACGGTCTTGCACTCACGTCCTGAGTTCATGGACTTGAGTCACTTTTGGGAGTTGGACCATTTCAGTGGTACACAAAGAAGTCTAGGCTGTTTTGGGCCAAGCCGCTTGTTCGGAACTGAGTATAAGTTTTTTTTGTTTCCGGTTTGGGGAGGTCCAATGCTTCCACTTCAGTTGCAAGCTGCAGGGCTGCACGGTTTCTGAGATATTCTGCGATCCAAGTTGTTTTTTACAGTTGAAGAGTTGACGTGTTTGGTCTTCTTTGGAGGAGTTACCCGTCTTTTTGTGTGGTGTAGGGGACTGAAATAGCCGAGAAACTCAAACAGCATCACAACCGACTGGGGGGTATGTTGTTTTTTTCTTTTTTTTGAAGGTACCTTCCTTGTTTTTTTTTTTTTTTGTAAGGTGGAACCAACAGCAAGAACCGTGAAGCCTTTTGGGGGGTCCACCAAAAGAAAACACACACCCGTGAGAGTCCCAAGGTGTTTGAGGGAAGCACACCCGTGTTTGCGGGCGTATCCTGTTTCAGATGTGAGGAGTCGAGTCACAAGAACCCTTAGTTTCCAAGTTCTAATCTGTTGACATGCTTTGCGGCCCATCTCACTCGCTGAGTTCCTCCTGGACTTTTGACTCTTTGGGAAGACCATTTCAGTGGCAAGGAAAAAAAGATTGAACTTTTTGTTTGGTCAATCCATTAAGGAGGTGAGTTCAACATGCTGTCTTGGCCAATATTTGACACGGGTAAAGGGGGGCCTTTTCTCTATTTGATCTGGGGTGAGTTCAAAGAACTTCCATCAACAGTAGGGACTTGTGTGGCTCGCATGACTCACGCTGAGGTGGTGCATCCATTCTTCTTGATCAAGACCCGCTGCGCGGCTTGCACTTGCCGCAGTTCTCCCGTGCTCTGTTCAATCCATTTCGCTGGTTACTCCAAGGTCGACTCAAATCCTGGTCGCAACGCTGAGTTTACGACCTTGGGGAAATCCAAGAAATGGGAGCCCTGACATACCCTTACCCTGACCCGTTAAGCCTTGTTTGTCTTCCTAAGCTCCAGAGTCCGGCAAGTCTCGCGACTCGCATCAAAACGTGTTTTTGTGTGGAGTTGGATCTCTGCCAATTGATTGATTCCGTTTCACGGGGGGAGACATGCTCAAAGGCATGCATCGGTTTGAACAAGCCCAACTGGTAGCGGGCCCCCCTGTGGCTGGTGGATACATTTGCACATCAATCCCGCATCAACATTCGCCTTTGATTCCTTGCTTTCACTCAACAAACTGGCACTCGTTCTGGGTGGCTGCTATTGAATGGGTTCAGTTGTTCAGTGACGCTGGTAGAAGTAGAGCCCTTTTTGGGGCCGCATCAGATAAAAAGGGATGAGGAGGGGCTCCACCAACACCTGGGTAAGTGGAAGGGGTTTCCCGAACTGGGACATCAAAGAGTCACTCTCTCTCTCTCTCTCTCTCTCAAGATGGGAAAACAAATAAACAATCAACTTACGGCCCATCAAATGTTCAACCAACCGGTTGAAGGCAACAGGTATGTTTGGGGATTCCTTTTGGGTGGATTTTAGGGGGTGGTCCGGAGGGTGGTATTGAAGGGAAGCCAAAGGGTAAGCCACCATATTGCGTTCACTTAAAGACACCAAGTTGTAAGCATTGCAGATCCAATTCGGGCCCCGAACTCATTTGAAGAAGCCTCACGTGGATCTTTGAGTCTTCCAGCAGAACGTTTCGCCTGAAGCGAGGCCTGCAGCTGCAATTGCACAGCTCCAGCGTCCCTGGCGGCTACCGGGGGGCCTTGCATGCGGCCGCTCGGCGATCAGATTCTGGAGGCGGCTTGTGAGCAAGAGTCATCTTACCCCAAGCGACCGAGTCCGAGTTTCAGTGTTTTGGTTTCGGGCCAGTCAGCCCCAAATAGACTCACTTCGCCAAAGCGAATCGACCAGCTTGGTACCCATGTTTAGTCATGGCAACCCAAAAGGTGATCGCCTTGTATTCCTCGCTGCGAGGAGAATCAAGTACTCCAGATCTTCAGAGGGCAAACCGCATCTTGGGATCCAACGTGGATTCTGTTTGGACGAAGAAGTTCCCAGTGGATTTGTTCATACACCTAGGGCACTTTGTTTGGAATTGTTGGTTCGTGCATAGATTAGACTAGATTACATTGGATACACTCACTAGTTTCTGGGCTTTACTACTTTTTGGGTTTGGACCATTGGTAAACAAACAGTTTGGTTATTTTTTATGGACAGTCCACTCGTACGGATGTGAATAAAGGGTTAGACTAGACTAGATTAGATTAGATAGACACACAGACAGATGAACAGATCGATTCATAGATCGATGATCGATGGCTGGATAGATGGATAGAGGGACGGACTGACAGAGACAGAGACAGAAACAGGCACATAGACAGACAGAAAGTTCCTGCCTGTATAACAGGTGTTACGTTTTCAAAAGCAGTTGGGGGCCAGGGACCTTATCTTCTTTTGGTGGCTCCCAGCCATCCGGTTCCTTAGCTTTTTAGCCTTGTAGTGTTTCGTGGTTTCCGAATTTCACCCGCTGAAAGTGAGACTCACTGACTCAGCGGATCGGACAACGGGCAGCCCAGTTCTCAAGGGAAGTGCCCGAAGCGCCTGAGCCCAAGGTTGAAACCATCGCCATGGAAGAAGGTCTGCGAGGCGGGGAGACCCGGGTTCGGCGACTCCAAGGAGGGAATCATGCGGGTGCTCTTGTTGGAGGGAAGCCTTTGTTGGTTGGTTTCAAGGGAAGCGGAAAGAATCCCACGCACTCTTTTCTCTTCCTGGTCTTTTTGTTGGGGGTGGGGTCCCGCTGTTTGTCTCCAGGTTTGGGCAAGGTCCTTTCCGCAAAGAATCGACACTTTAGGGTGCGTCTTCTTTGGGTGCACCCCTAAACCGCTTGGATTTTCCTTTTGGCGTCCCTCTAAAAACCCACCAAACCTGGGGTGAACCCAACTCCAAAGACGTCCCCTTGAGTTGTCTTTTTTGGTTTGGCAACGGCTAAGCCCATATGGCCCATATGATTTTCGTTGGGCGCTAGAAGCAAGGCCCGGGCTTTTTGTCGGGCTCCGTGAAGCCCCGTTTGGCTTCCAAAGGAACCGGGGCTTAGCCCAAACCAATTCAAAGGAAGACTCCAGGGAGTGAGACACATTTTTTGTGGACTTGAGACATCCCTCAGACGGAAGGAAGTTGCCCGATTGGGCTCTGGAAATCTTGCTGGTGCTCAGTAGGGCAGGGATTCCTTTAAGGGAAGCCATAAAAATGGTCATTCCCACATTCCCTGCTGAGCACCAGCAAGATCTTCCATTTCGGGGTCTGTTCGGGAGCACCGTTCGGGAGCACATGGAATCGTCTCGGGGATGGTAGACGCTTGTTGGGTTTGGGAAGACAATTTCGGTCAGCAAAAAGTGTGGTTACTTTGTTTGTCCAGTCCACTAGTTCGGAAGTGAAACCATCCGTTTTGAGAAGTAAAGGAAACCAAGGTTGAAAACCAAAGGAAAGCCAAGGGAAACCAAAGGAAACCAAAGAAAACCAAGGGAGAACCAAAGGAAAACCAAGGGGAACCCAAGAAACCAAGGAAGGAAACCCAGTTTGAACACCTGGAAAGGATGGGACCACACTTGAGGCTTCTACCGTGGCTTTGGACCTTCACTGATGCTCTGCTCACACGGCGCCGTGCTCCTGGTGTCCTATGTGCCTCGGCAAATGACTGGCTGGATCAAGGTATTGGGAACACGACTCCACTGCCTGGGGCTTCGTTAAAACTCGTCCCGAGAAATCGTGGTATCTCGGGGACCCGAGAAATCGTGGTGGTGGCGACCCCTTTTAACCAACCCCACCAAGCAACTCACTCCCTGAGCTGGATGTTTGTGGCTTTTTGGGGCTTGGACCGTGGTAAACTGTGGCGACATTTTGTTTGACCCATGCTCTCACGTGAGACTTGTTAGGGCACGCAGGACATGGTACAAATGCCTGATGTCAAACTGATGGCTTTTTTACTGCAACGACTCCCAGTGTTCTTTCAATACATTCCGCGGTGACCTCTGGCTTACTCCCCACAAGGCCCAGCTCCCATTTCGGAGGGGAACCCTTCGAAGCTTCGCTTTTCAGCGGAACAGCCAAGTAATACACGTTGATTTGTCGGGGTCACCTTTCCCAGACAAAAACGTTCCACTTCAGGTTGGCGATGTCCGTTTGGCTTTCCATTGCTCAGCTGAACGTTCCGGGAACAGACGCAACAGAACACTTGACATTCTCGGACCCGCTTCTAGACCAGCGCCCAAGCAACCTTTGTGAGTGCTGGGCTAGTCGGGGTATTCTGTCCACAGGGGGGGAGGGGGAAAGGGCAACCAAATGGAAGCTCCTCTTTCCAAGTATCTTCCATCTTTGACCCCTGTGCCAAAAGCCACGCCCAAGAGCACTGGTGGCAAGATCCGATAGTTTGAGCGCCTGCGAAATCTACCGCTGATGCCATCAAACAATCGCCATAAATGTTCCTGCGCAACAAAAAGGGTGGTGCTCAGCATTTCAACGCTTGCCAGGCGGTGGTCAATCAGGAGCCAAACTGGGGGAACGAGTTGTGCATGCAGTATTGCTCCATTGTGCTTTTCGTTGGAACTCTCAGAATTCGTGGCAATGGCATGCAATCTTGTATCATCAGGAGCATACCCGTGGAAACCTCGCAAATCCTTGCCATAGGAAGCCCAGACGCAAGTCAGGGGCGCAATCGTTGAAGCGAGCAGAGCCTGGACCAGGGGAAACTGGGGGTTCCTCAAACAGCTTGCTGTTTTTTGTTGCCCATACAGTACCCAACTGCAAAAGCCACCTGATTCGGGGAAACCAACAAAACGGGACTCATGGAAACTGAAATCGGCCCAGTGCCCATTTGGTTTCCCGTTCAGCCAACCCCACACAGTACCAACTGCAAAAACTGATTGAAGGACCAGTACCAACTCCAAAAATGACTGAAGAACCTATGGAAGCTCCAACAAACTGAAGGACCACTGCAAGTTGTTCTTCAACTCGGTCTTGGCGGCCTCTTGCTGTGCAAAGATCTTCGCATCGGTTGCGCCTCGAAAGCAGCCAGCGACACTGGTGACTTTGTGCGTCAGATGACGTGAGGGTGAAAGGACTAGTTTGGCTATGAATGCTCACTTGCGAATCGACCGGATCTGACCTTCTAGTGTCTCCCCTTTTTCGTACCCTTGCTTAGTCATGGCAACCCAATAGGTACCGTTTTTTTGTGGTTCCCAGTTCCCAGCCATCCCTAAAGTTTTTCCCCAGATAGCTAAAAGTTTTAGGGGTTCTAACTTCTAATAAAGAGGGGAAAGTGATTTGCGAGATTGATGGGCGGGTGCTAGGAGGCGTGCGGTTTGGGGTGCTGGTGTAGGTGCTGATTGGGGTGCTGAGTGGGGTGCTGTTTGAGGTGCTGATGGCAGTGCGGGCGCATCTTTTCAAGATTGACGGTAGGGTGCTAGGGGGCATGCAGTTTGGGCTGCTTGTGCAGGTGCTGTTTTGGTGCGCGCATTTTTGCATCTTGACGGTAGGAAGCAGGGGGGAGTGCAGTTTGGGGTGCTGCTGATGGTGCTGTGGGACACAGTTTGTGGGGAGCTGTTTGAGGTGCTTTGTGGGGCGCATCGGGCATGCAGGTGACGGTGCAGGCGCATGTTTGCGTCTCGACGGTAGGGTGCAAGGGGGCATGCAGCTTAGGTGGTGGTTTGGGATTCTGTTTGGGGGTGCTCTTCAGGGTGATGGTGCGGGCGCATGTTTGCTCGATTGACGGCCGGGTTTTGCTTGGGGCGTTCTTCGCGGGGGTGCTTTTGGAGGTGCTGGTGTGCAAGCGCCGCTATCTGGGGTCTATGCTGGTGCATTTGGCTTTTTTGGGCTTAATGGGGGTCCATTTCACCACTCAAAGTCCAAAGCCGGGGATCTGAAACGGACAGCACGCCGAGGCCACCTACCCTCTCCAGGTGACACGCTCGGTGATGCAGCAGCGCCGTGAGGCCCACTTCGAGCAGCTTGCCCCGGTGGCCTTCCTGGTTCCTTCCTGTGCATGGTTGCGAAATCCATTTCGCATCACCTGACAAACCACGGAATGATGTTTTTTGTAAATACCAACAAACAATGGTTTCCCATAGTTTTGAAGTGGTGCAGCCATCCATAGTAGTTGGAAAGCGGCGCATATTCGGCCGTGGTACAAAACACATGTTTTTGTGGTTTTGCTTCGGCCAAGTGCGCTGGGGTTGGGGGGTGGGGTGGGGGGGTGGGGATGATAATATTATGGTCCAACTATGGAGCCATATACCAGTCTCAAAGGCATGCTTTCCCCGGCACAAGCGGCATGGCTGCTTGCGCACGTGCTGTTGTTGCGCACGTGCTGTTGCTGCGCGTCGCGGGATGCCCTCCATCCCTTTGCCCTGAGCTTTTCAAGGTTTGGGCCATTCGAGGGATTGACACTGCTCACGCTGCGCTCTGTGCTGCCGCTTGGCGCCCCGCTGCGGGCATTGTAAGCGCGGTGGTGATTCAGGAGTGGTCATATGGCAGGCGAGCAGGGGTTGACTTCAAATTGCTAGCACGTCACTCTGAGTCTTTGTTTGCAGCTGTCAAGGCAAGGGCAGCCCAGCCTCTGTCGGCGCAGGTCGGGGCGACTTTTTATGTTGTCAGGACACGCATGGAAAGTTTAAGGGATGAAGGACTGCGGGGCAACTTGCCAGTGGTGCATCATGTAGAAGATCAAGAAGACCTACAAGGGCAGACAGTGTTCTCTGACGAGAACACCTCGCGTTTTGCAAGGAGAAGGGCATCCCTTGCTACGTCTGCCACCAGAACAAGGTCCGGGTTCAGAAGTTGAACTGCCGGCTGGAACTCAGTGCCTCGACCGGCAGTGGCGCTGCGTGAAGGGATTCCTGCCACGCACGCTCAATCTGAAGTTGAAAGGGGCCCTGAATCCGAGATTATATCAACCAATGGAGCTGGCGATGTCGTCTTGGGACGCCAAAGCCATCGGAGTTCCTGAATAAGCTTGCGGCCATTTTGGCCTGATCAGTGGATGAGCGGATCGATTTGACAACTCACCCTATGCCCTGTTGAACAACCTAACCGTGGAATGCATAGGTTTCGCATCATCATGGATTATTGTCCGGGACGATCATGGCGGTGTGACCAGATGACACCAAGGCCATAGCAGCTCACGCAAACACTGGCGGCCGTTTGGGCCTAAAAAGATGTGCGCCTGCGAAGTAGTTTTCCGGCGCCGAAACATGAAAGGCGGAACATGTTCCAAATACACTTTGAAGTCTCTGTGGCCACAAACCCAGTGGAATTCAAGGATATATGGAGTTTCTCTTTTGCAACAGCACCTTCGGAATTGTCATATTTCACCACGGCCGAACACGCGCCGCGTACCTAGTAGTTAGGCCTTAGGTGTGGCCTCAGGGCTCTCAGAAAGGGGGGGGGCTCTCCATTAAAGGGGGGCGGGGAGGGGTTAGTAGTCCATGATTCTTTTCTTTGGTTTGGGCGGGGATTCCGTTTCCCTTTTTGGAGTCTCCAAAAGTGGCGATCGGTTCAGTGGAAAGCACCGGAAAGTTGATCAACTTTTGAAGAGGAAATCCAGTGACCCCTGTTGGGGGGGGAGGGTTTCCCCTTAAAACCAGCCAGGACGTTTTCCCACCGGGGTTTGCGCAATAATGTGGTATGGAGCCAATGCTTTAGCCATTGAACGGGTCACCAACAACAGGTGGTTAGCCATGCAAATAGCAACCACTGACCAAGCATAATGTGTGTATATGAACATATGTCATCATGGGCTAGCTCCAAGGTTCCTATGCCCATTCCTGGACTTGAGCAAGACGTTTGGAGGTTTGGACCATTCTAGTGGCAGACAAAAAGTTCTACAGGATCTGTGTTGGCCAATCCACTTGTTAGGTGAGGAATTGCCACTTTTCTCCTTTGTTTTGCCCCTTCAAGTACGTGATGGGTGTCTTTTCAAAAAAAACAAGCTTGGGATGAATCAAAGGCAAACAGTGGCCCCCAGCTTGTTGGGAGCGATTTTTGAGGGATTCCCAGCGTCGCATCGTGATGGTGTGCCACCGAAAAGCCACCAGAAGATTTGTGTTCTGCGTGCATGTCTGTGTGGAAGAGCTTAGGGCACACCGCTTGGTTCCATTTACGAAGGCGCCATGTTGGGTACAAGTTTTTGAGCAATGTGGGGACTTTTGTTTCATCCACACGGAAAAGCGATCCAGGCTTCAAGTTGTGATTCGCCTTACGATCCATGCCCTGTGGCTTTCAGGAAGCCTCCCTCATGAGGTGCCCGGGGAGGGGATGAGGGGGGCTTTGGGGGGCCTTTTTTGTGTGAGAGTGGCTGAGGTACACGAGCTTCCCAAGGACGGTGCAGCTCCTTTGGCAAAGGAACGGGCTGCAGGCCTTCTACAGAGGCCGCAGCGTGGGATCACCGAAGAGTTTCCCAGATGGAGAGCCCCAATCCTCCGGGTACAGATCCGGGATGACAAGGGGGGCGGGATTTGGATGGTGTCTCTAGGCTTTTCGTGAGAGGCATGGTTTTGGGGCTAGCTTTGGGGAGAGCGGCCCAAAAATCGGATGGATGTGTCGAGTCACATTTTGACTCTTGTAGCTTGGCTTGTTTTCCCGATAGCCACACAGATGGGTGTGTTTTAAGATCTGGTTGCTGGAAAAGACACCACGCCAAGTCAAAGGCTGTTTGTGTGAGGAAAAACCCATGCCATTGCCATGTTGATCCTCATGCCTGGGTCGTTCCGGGCGCCCTTTTCGCCGATCTGTCTTATTTAGAGGCGATCACGAGGGTCCTTTGAGTGAGGCACTCCGAGACATACTGTGGATGGACGAAATCCATTTCGCACCACCTAAGAAACCCTGGAATGATGATTCACCAACAATTATGGTTTCCCATGGTTTCACAGCGGTGCAGGATTTCGTCCATCCACAGTATGGTCATTTTTCCCCTTTTCCTGGTGGCTCCCAGCCATCCCCTTAGTGTTTAGCGTTTAGTGATAGTTTCCACGAAAACCTCTAAAAGATGGACTTTCACAGGATCAGGGAACAGCCCAATTAAATTCAACACCTGTAGTTCTTGCTGTACCTTCCCCATTCTCTTCGAGGGTCCTTCTCTTCAAAACCTGGTTGCTCAAAAATTCTGGGGCAATCGGTGGTTTCTGAAGAGAACGATGGGTGAAGGGAATGCTGTGAAGGAACGCTTGCTCATTGGGGTCTCAAAAAGGGAAGGGACGCCCTTTTTTTTTCATGCGGACGAACTCATTTTTTTTTTGGAAGATGTCGAGCGGCATCAATTATGGCAATGTGGTTGGACCTTTGGACTTGTGGATTTTCAATTGGAGCCACGACAAGTGAATTTGTTGCAGATTCGGCAGCTTCGTGCGAAGAAGTATGAGGAGAGGAGCGACACGGGGGGTTCACCTTTCAGCTCATTGAGTGCAGCAACCCCCCAAAAGTATTTTCTCAGAATCCCATTAAATCATAAGCCCAGATGTCCTGAACAGCACCCCCCTTGGCCCGGAACAGCCCATCGCTCTCCGGAGCTTGGGTCGCAGGCCTTTTCCCGCAGATGCTGCGCACGGTGCCGCAAGCCATGGCGTTCTTCTCCATCTATGAGCATGTTCTCTCTGCATTGCAGCTGGTACGGCCCAGCTCAAAATAGAGTTGGACTCGAAGCTTTCTACCACTAAAGGCTGGCGGCGTCTCTTTTTGTAGGTCTTGTTGACTGTAGATGGGTTTCACTGGTTTTAGGTTTGGACCACTATAGTTCTAGGCAAACAGCTTGGGCCAAGCCGCGGAAGCGAATTTCCTTTGCGGAGACCGACCTCGGGTACGGTTTGCATGGGGTCGTCAATGGACCACTCCACGCGGAACGCCGTTTTCCTTCGCGGGAAAGGTCCGCGGAACGTGTGCCGAGCGCTCGGTGCCGAGCGAGCTGCGCCCGGAAACGGCGAAGAGTGGACATCCTCACTTCCAACCAGCTCATGGGCTTTGATCTTCTGGGATTTGGACCATTTAACTTCCCCAGAATTAGTTCCCGTTTTTACTTTTTTGCTTTTTTGGGTTCCCTTTGTTTTCCACTACCGGGCAAAAAAGATACTTTTTTGCTGGGGTCCTAATTCTAGCCAAGTTAAGTGGTAAATAAAAGAGTTCTAGGAGTTGGAGTTCTTTGAGGTTCCACAAAAAACAGGTGCCCTTGTTCTAACCTCTCTACTGGAGGACCTAGGAAAGTTTTAGGAGTTGTTTGGCGCGTCCACTCAAGAGATACACATTTTTTGTCCTGGTGTGGGAAGTGAACGTCTCTCACGAATGGTGCCCATGATGGACCTCGTAGGCCCAGTTGCCTGGCCTTTCTTGTCGGGTGCCTGAAGCAAAATTTTCAGGTTCGGAAACGTTCTGGTCATCAGAAGTGGAATCAACCGGAGTTTTAACCGGAATCGCCCAAAGGCAACAAGGCATGGTCCCCTTTGAAGATTGACGCCCGAAAGGCTGACGGCTGACCCGCGTTTTGTGCATGAACAAACACTGGTCATGGATGTCCCTTGTTCCTCATGATTTTGATACTCTCACCCAAGACAGTGCCACCCCAACCGCCAGCTAGGCGCTGAGAACCCCTTCCGAAATCAGGTGAATGAACTGGAGGACTTCGTTGGCGCCTTTGCTCCGCCCCCCCCCCCCCCCCACCCGGATTTTCGCGGGGCCTCTCCCAGCGTAGACTAAATTAAGAACAAGTATTTTGCTGGCGGGGGCTAAGGAGGTCAAAGATTCTTTCAGTCAGTGTTGATCAGTAGCGCAAGCCTTGCCATCGTGTTCATCTTGTTACCTTTGCGTAGGGAAACCAGCCGGAAAAACCAATACATCACTTTATCACCCCATTTCTTTCAAGGACTCTTCCCAGGTCCCAGCAATTAGTGCCCTTTTTCCAACTTTTTTGGAGGAGGGTTCCCCTACTAAAATAGAATACAGAAAAAAAAAACAAATCGGGTACCAACTTCTTCTAACCTCTCAAATCTGGAGGAAGCGCAGTTCGCCTTCGATTGCAGCCTTGGGCTCTCGGGCGCATCTCACGCCTCATCCGGTACTAGTACAAAGGTTTCTGAGGAGGCGGAGCCGTCGATGTCCGCCGATTCTCGAGCCGCCGATGTTTTTTTCGTTTCGGCCGGGGTGGCGGTCGTTGTTTTGGGGGGCGGGGGCCAGCGCGCTGGTCGCCCGGCCGCAAAGAACCCAGAAGTTGGCGAACAGTCTTCACACTTTGGCGCGGGTTCTGTGGCTGGACCGCGGACCTGAAGCCAAAGGTGTCCACCTTGCAAGCGGTGTTTGCCCCACATTGACGAATATGTCAAAACGACGACTTCACAACTTTCCTTTTGGGATATGCAAGGACACAATTGCTAGATCAATGCACAAACCAAACAAAGACAGCGCCCACAACCCCAAACGCAAAAGCGAATGTGGAACTGCGAAAAATGTAGCTACTCGATAAAACCGCCAAATTAGCAATCCAAAAAACAAATTAGTATTAACCCACATTCTTGTGATAGAACCACTCCGAAAACCCCCAGGAAACCAAACAAACAGACAGAGAGACAAACAATCAAACAAACAAACAAACAAGCAAGCAACAAACAAACAAACGGGGCTCCAAAGATAGAACGATGTATCACTGACACCTTTTTCGGAGAGAATTGGCATTGCCTTACCATGGTTGTTGTTGGGAAACATTTCGACATTTTTGCTTTATTGTGGTTTGGTGGTCGAAATCCGCTAGAATGTAAATTGTTGCTCCCCTCCAACGTCAACCAAGTATTACTGCTTCTCGCTGGTGCTTTTCAAGGGAGCCAAGGGGCTGGGGGTCAAGGCCTGCGGGGCGTTTGGCTCACCGGCGCGTCAAGTCATGTTTCGCTTGCGCATGACGAAAAGTGATGTATACGCAGTGCTTGCACGACTGGCAATAAACCCCTTTGCGGCACACACCATGAAGGGAACCGCACTTTTTGCGTATGTCGTGTTGCATCGCTCAAACGTCCGCCGGATTGATCAGTGAATCTGTTTCACGGGTGCGCCTTTGAGTGGAAGGAGATTCTGGTGTCCCAAGTGCGCATGAGCAAGTGACACAATTCCTGGTCGTCTACCATTGGTTCAGGGAGAACATGGAGGGCCCACCCAGAGATTTCCCACAAATAGGGGTTGAGACCACCCACTGTTCCCATGCCCTCTTGATTCTGTCCGAGAGTCACATTGATGACATGAGTTATTCCTTTCGCCGCAGTTTCAGGGCTCCACGAATCCTTCAGGAAAGAGCCACATGTGGTGCTCCCAGCAAAACGTAAAGAGAAACCCAAGGGTAGAACAAGATTGGGTGTCCATTTGCCTGAGACCCTTGGAGCGACCCGAATCGAATTTCCGTGTTCATCAAGACCCATCGAAGCTTCGAAGGCCATGTCCATCTTGCAGCTCACCCTTACTGCCGCATGCCTTGCCTGGGTCTCAGCTCGAGAAGAACGCATCAAACTTTTTCTGGGTAGACCATGGGTATGGCTCGAAATAAAAGAGCTGGGGTTGCGCAGTGGTCAGTCTTCCTTTCCTTTACCTTTCGGAACAAATTTTGGGTACCGATCTTTGAACCACAGCCTCAGCAAGCCCGGGATTCTAAACAACCCTGCGGTTCTTGCTGAATGCAATGACCCGCAGGAGTTTCGGTTGCAGGGAAGGCTGGAACCCACGCATGGGCTCCCTTCCAAACCTGAGGGCTACAACTTGTTGAGGAAACCTGGCGGGGTCCTTCCATTCTATCAAAAGGTGTGACACACTCTGCCCCTCCCCTTTTGGATGTTAGTCTCTTTTGCTGGTTCCCTGTTCGGTGTTCCGATCATGCAGTTCCTGGACAGAGAAGGGAATCGTCTTTAAACATGGATTCACATGTTGCATGGCGTGCCGCACATATTGCAGCCAGTCAAATCTAGTTCTACATCCGGAAAGCTCCTCATGGCGACACATTGACATACATTTCTATGTTTGCTGCTGTCAACTCGGATGGAAAGCTCGAACAAGTGTTCATGAGTGTTTGATCATGTTTGATCTCTCACTTGGTTCTAAAGTTCTAAACATGATGTCCTTGTTGAGTGGTGTGCTGCGCGGTTGAAGCAGGTTTTTTGAACCCCTTGGAGACAGTGTGTTGCATTTGTTTTCCCTGCGCGGCAGTGGCGATTCAATCTGCCAGACAGACATTTGTCATTTGATGATGTTTGGGACTGTCGAAAACTGGACCTGCCAGCGCACACACAGGGAGTTTTGGAGTCGAGTCCTCTTGACGTCATTTCATGTTTAACCATGTCGAAGTCGAGAATCGATTGGGGGCAAGGAGCTCGGAAGCAAACCAGCCTTACGTGAACTAAGACACATAAGCTGGAAATCGTAAACCAAACTGCGTCGGGTAACCGAGTCGGGGACCCATCTTGTTTGGTTGGTTTTGAAGATAAACCCAAAGGAAGCCCACCATTTTGGGGGAAGTTCCTAAAAAGGACACCCTGGCGCCAAGAGGATAGTTTCATGTTCCCCTTGAACGCGTGCAACCAAACTGGTCCCTAGTGTTGACAGCCACTTGTCGCTTGCCCACATGTGAACTGGGGGTGTGGCTCATGTTCTTTAAAGGAATACGGGAGGCTTGAGTCACTTCTCCCAAAGCATGGTCACCCTGTCCACTTCGGGAAAGCCCAGTTAGATGGCAGAGCAGTTTTTGCGATCCACACCACCAAGATTCAATCAGCGTCGCATCAGCCAAAGCCGAAGGCAAAGTGGGTCTGCTGCTGCTTTTTGTTTGCTTTGGTTCTTGAACAGACTTGGACCGGCGTCGCGCCAAAGCCAAGGGCGACGCCACAGTGACACTTCTAGCTGTTTTTGGTACGTACCCTCTTGGTGGCCCTCCATTCTGGTTCACAAAATTTGCTCTAAGCACTGTCGCAGTTGTTGCGGCTACAAGTCTTTGATTGATTGAAATACCTCGCCAACAAGCTTGACAGGCGTTTGGGGCATCACGAAACTGTCAATGGCCTTACCCCCAAACAAAATGCACCGTATCAGGGAAAATGGGAAATAAGGCGGAGCTGAGCTCGCGTCACATCCAGCATGGATGAGCTCCTGCCCAGCTGATATCACGGTCGACGCGCCATGGACTCGGGCTTTACAAGCTACAGAAAGTGCTGCAGCCAGCCGTTGTTCGCCGTGATTGCTACTCAGCAAATGCTCAGGTCACAGCTGTGCTGACCCCGGCATGCAAATTGCGCGGCCCAGCGTTGACAGAAAGTCAAAATCTGACCGTCTGCGAGTTCGGCGCAGTGGCCCGAATCACACACCTTGCACAAAGAACACCTTGCCATTCAGCAAGGAGGTTGACTTTGGGCCCTCGGCAGGCCTGATATGCCAGACCGCTGAGGCTACCATAGCGCAAGAGGGCCCAAGAAGGCTGGAGCTCTGAAATGTAAAGCCTCCGGAAAAAGGTCGCAAGGAAGGATTCAGCTGAAGATTGAAAGACAATTCCACGCGTACCATGCATGACGGCCTGCGCCAGCTGCGCGTCGGCACAAAATCTCAATGCCAGCCTGCATCGTTGGTGATTTGGATTGAGAGTGCCTATGGAAGGCCTCTGTTAGACAGCTGCTCAGCCTCATTTGAGCAAATGAAGCATCGCGGCGCTTTGGACGCGGTCAGTCCCCCTGTAAGACAGCGATTACTCTCTCATTTCGCCTATTTGGAAGGGAAAAAATTGCATCCAGGCGCAAAAGCTTGTACTGCTTTAGCCCGTCGGTCTGAAGCTGTGCAGGACAAGCCCAAACGATTGGTAGCGGTGAGCTTTGACGCGGACTCACATGGGTTAAGCGTGATCCAGCGTTGTCCGTATCCAGCGGAGCGGTGACCCCTTCGCTCTTTTGGTTTTTGTTATGGTTCGAATTACCAATATAAACCCAGGATGACTCATCCCTGGGTTGAATACATCGGCGGATTTGCCCCAGTGAAGAGAGGATCCTCCGCTTTTGTGGGAATCCTCCGATCCACGTTGCCCAAACCTCAGTTGTTCAGTGGTACCCTTTTTCCTTTTTCTTGGTGGCTGCCTCACTAAAAATGGTCTTCCCCAAAAAGGGTCCCCTTTTTTCCAGGGTCACCGAACAACTGAGAAACGGTGCGGCCTTGCAGGCATTCAACTTGGCCTCGAGCCGCCCGGCAAACAAAGCAAGAATCCGATCGTCTGGCTGGCCATGGACCTGGGTTTTAGACAGTGATTGGGGGTTACTGTTTTTTGTCCAGTTGCTGAAACGAATATGGTTGCTTGTCCCCTGGGAATCTAGCACTATTGGAAATATGATCATTTTGTTCAGGGGGGATTTAGCAAATGGGGTTCTCGGGGAAGCTTCCCCATTCTGAACCCGGGGATCCTTCTTTGCAGGAAGCCATCACAAACCCCGAACCGAGGAAAAAGCTGGTTTTTGAACAGAACGATGGTTGAAAAGAGAATGGAATCAACCCCTCGAACTGTGGGTGGTGCACGATTGATATATCTTGTGTGTTTCTTTATTCGTATTGGGTTGTATTTCTCTCAAGTGGTGCGAAGTGGATTTTGCCCATCCGCAGTATGGGAACCGTGTCGAGGAGTTTTGACCATGGCAAACGAGAGCAAACGACAAGATGGCTGGTTGGCGGTTTTTTGGGAGGACACCCACCAAAACCCGCCGAAACACCATCGTGCCCCATGTTTGCTTGAGTGAAACCGCAAACACTCTGCTTCTTACATGGGGATGGTCATCCTGGATTTTTGGCGTGGCTGGATGAGTATCTAGAAGGGGTTGTCTCGAATTTCTGACCCGAGGGATGTGTTTACAGTAGCCGGCTGCAAGAAACCCTTTCGACTGTTGTGATTATGAACTCCCATGAAAGAAACCTCTACCTCCTCAAATGGTAGCCATAAACCGGACTTGGAACCACCGGGGGCGGGGGTCCCGAATTTGCAGGCACCCGCAAATCTGCTTTATTTAGTATGAACGAAAGGATTGCTGGTTTTGTTTATCCTACAATCATGATGCCGGGTTCAATCCTCGTTCTTATGTTTTTGCCCTGTACATTAGAGCCTCAAGTAAATACGGCGGTGCTTTGGGTCGACCGCATGGTCCAAGCGGGTCTGTCCCGGTGCTTTTCGAGTCCTTCAGTTTCCGGTTTGGGCGGGTTTCCTACAACGGGGGGGGTGAAACCCAGCAGCCCAACTCATCGAAGGGCTTGCGGCAAGTCCCGGCTGTCGCCAAGTCGCAGCCCCTTCTGATCATCCTTTTGGTGGTTCGAGGCGACTAGCTTGGATTTTGCACCCAAGCCTCAGTTCAATTCGGACAGAGTTTCAGCTTGGAATTAAAGCCGACACGCTCGCACCAGGCATCAAACTAGTGCGGCCATCGTTACACTAATATGCACGATGCCCAGGCAAACAAACGGGTTGCCAGCCACGAGACCCCGAAAAAAAGAGCGGCATGTTCGCCCTCTGATCGCTGCGTTGCAGCATCGTTCCTGGCAAAGTTGGTGCACGCCCGACCCCTTTTGGAACCGATCGAGTTGCCGGATTAAAGTCACTGTTTGGGTTTGGTTGCCATTTGGTGGCAAACAAAAAGTTTGGTTACTCGTTTGTTGGCCAGACAGCTCATTCAGAAGTAAGGAGAAGGTTCATTGTCATCACACCATGTGGTTTGCATGTGTTTTTCGTTGTTTTTAAAGTTGGCCTGTTCAAAGACACTCCTTGACCTTGGTTTACACGGAATCGGGGCCCTTTGTAGCCTCTTCCCTGCAGGTTTTTTCCGGAAATCGGAGTGGTCCACCCATTGTCAAAACTGCCCCAAAGGGGCACATGTTTTTGGTGGTTCAAGCGTCTGATTTTTTTTCCCCGTGTCCTCCACAAGGGCGGCACGGAAGGCGGCAGGTCTCGAAAACGATTCCATATCTTGAAGCCTTCGGTAAGGTACAGCTGCACCAGAGGCGGCGGTGGGTCTGCCGAGAAAAAACGCGAGCTGACCTGAAAAATTAACACGAGTTCATGGTAAAGATCCTCTTGGGGATCCCTCGTATATGTCGAGGTTTGGAAGAATTGTAAGATTTGCAGATGGGTTTCTGACTCGTTGTTTAGGTGTTTTGTTGATGTTGACCAGACCTAGTTGTTCAGCAGCACCAAAAAAGGGAATTTGGTTTTTGGTGGTACCCCCTAAATAAGGTCCTGGCCCCCAAAAAAGTTGGTGTTCCAAACATGGCTGTGTCAGGGTCAGGGGCAACTGGGGCCTAACCCCTGCTTCAAAGCGAGGGCCCAAAGGAAGCCGGACTGGTTCGAGAAATAGATGGTCCCTCTTGTGGATGGACGAAATCCTGCACCGCCTAAGAAACATGGGAAACCATTGTTTGTTGGTATTTGCAGGGGAACCATCGTTGCAGGGGTGTCTTAGGTGTGCAGGAGTTTGTCCATCCACAGTATTTGGCCATGGCTCACGAAATCTCGCTGCTGGTGGCTAAACTGAGAGGCGGCCAAGGGGTAAACAAACTTAAAGGTCTGTGCCGTTCTGCGTTTGGTCCCGATGGCACTGTCTCGCACATGGCCCCCCAAGCATTCGGTCCAAATGCTGCACCTCTTTTGGCTCCTGAAAGAGACACCAAAGGAAACCCTCATTCCGCCGCGTTCCTGGACTTTCAACATTTTGGGAAGACCATTTCTAGGTCCCCCAGTAGTGCCCATTCTCACCCTTTTTTGGGGGAGGGTCAACTACCAAAATAGACAAAAAGGAAAAAGTTGGTACCCTTATTCCAACCTCTCTGCTGGAGGACCTAGATGTGGTAAGTGGGAAATGAAAGCTTGGACTTTGTTGGGCCCGTCCACTCAAGTGAGAAGCCGACCATAGACCGATCCACCCCCATTTAGGCCCCTCATTTAGGCCCGCAACCGTCCTTGGGAAGGACATTGTCTGGGGTAGACTTCGGATACATGTTACATTTTGCCAGTGACTCAAAGTGAGGCAAACAATAAAATCTACATTCTATGGGCCTCACTCTAATCATGTTGTGTTCAGGGCAACAAGCCCCAAAATTCAGCATGCCAGTCGAGCCCGCAACCAATGGTGCCCAGGGGACAGTCGTCCCTGTAATATCGTCCTTGTGGACGAGAGCAGTTATTAGCTTTCCTTTGAGGCAAAACCACGCATATGTCTGTTACTTAGCTTTTAATAGGATATATATATATATATACACATCCATATACATATTATACATATACCTATAAAGTTGTCACCCCGGAAAGAAACCACCCTAAAGAAACTGGAGCAAGTGGTCAATAAACATCCTCACTTTGGACCCTCGCTTCGGACCCAAACTCTTCGCGGATTGCCAGGTGCGACCTGTGCCCAAGACTTGCCTTCTGCAGCGGAACGCGCACCTGAAGGTTCGGGATCGAGCCTCCGAAAAGTTTTCTGGGGGTCCCTTTTACTGCCCTTCTTCTACCATGATCAAAGCCACCCCCTAAGTGGTGGGTTAAGGGAAACAACCCCATTTTCTGACTTTGATAACCCCCCGAAACCGTCAAAATACTGAACCCAGGTTTTTATCGAATCTTAATCAACCCACAACCCAAGGCGAATCGTATGGAGTGACATTGGATGCTTTCAGTTTCGATCAGATGCAAAACTTGCCTGGGTCCAGTCGAGCTCGCGTGATGAAGGTCTCTTTCTTCAGGATTCCTGAAATTTGATAAGTGCAATGCGGAATGTATCAATGAGCACCTTTCTGGGAAGCACTTGCAAGAAAACCAACATGAACGGGCCGGGGTTGGCTACTAACTCGGCGAAGTGTTTCAAGGGGGCCAGGTACAGGAGCTCAAATGATAGGGAGTGACAGAACGCAATCACTAGTTTGGCGTTCAATCAGCAGCTTGTACGTTAAAAAAAAAAAAAAAGAAAAAAAACGTTGGCCAATATGAAAACGGCTCAGTAAGCCCTGACGACATCTGTACATCTATTCACCCATCTCTCTTTTCATCTACCTACCTGCCTCCCTATCTACCTACGTAGCTGTTTGTCAGTCTAGCGAATTATCTACCTACCTACCTACCTATCTATCTATCTACCTATCTACCTAATCTACCTAATGTATCTATCTATCGATCGATCTATCTATCTATGTATCTGTCAATCCAATCTAAGCTAAGTTAATTTTAATATATTATATCTGTCTAATCTATTGTAATCTAATCTAATCTATCTATCGATCTATCCATCTATCTATCTATCTAATTTGTCTAATCTATTTATCTATCTATCTATCTATCTATCTATCTATCTATCTATCTCTATCTATCTATCTATCTATCTGTCTATCTGTCTATCTATCTATCTATCTATCTATCTATCTTTCTATCTTTCTATCTATCTATCTATCTATCTATCTATCTATCTATCTATCTATCTATCTATCTATCTATCTATTATCTATCTATCTATCGATCTTATCCATCTATCCATCTATCCATCTATCCATCTATCCATCTATCTATCTATCTATCTATCTATCTATCTATCTATCTATCTATCTATCTATCGTATCCATCTATCTTATCCATCTATCTAATATATCTATCGATCTATCTATCTATCTGTCTTATCTTGTCTTATCTTATCGTATCTTATCTTTTCTTATCTTATCTTATCTTTATATTTTATCTTATCTTATCTTATCTTATCTATCTATCTATCTATCTATCTAATCTATCTATCTATCTATCTATCTATCTATCTATCTAATCTAATCTAATCTAATCTATTCTAATCTAATCTAATCTAATCTAATCTAATCTAATCTAATCTATCTAGTCTATCTCATCCAATCTATCTAATCTATCAATCTATCTAGCTATCTAGTTGTCTGGCTATCAGCTATCGTTCTATCTATCTCTGTCACTGCCTATCTCTCTGTCTATCTGTCTATCTGTCTATCTACCTCTCTCTGCTATCTAATCTATCGATTGATCTGTCTGTCTTTCTATCTATCTTTTTCTCTGTCCGCCCGCCTGCGAGTCGTGCTCCGGAGTGCTGCGCCTGCCCCGAAATGAGAGATCAGCACGGCGACTAAGCGCAAAGTACTGCGCCCGCGCACGGAATTTAACAGGCGACCGCCCAAAGTGTCGTGCGTGCCATTGATTTGTGATCACGCTCCATAGTGGTGCGCCTGCCACGCAAAGTGAGCTTCAGACGAAGCAAGAAAGCGCTCAAAGTACCGCACTGTCGCGAAATCCAACCTTGACACGTTTACGACGCGTGTCAGTTTCGACCAATTTTTGACAGGGTTTCAGCCAAGGAAGCTAATACTCGCGCCAGCTTCCATGCACAACGGCACGGCAACTTTCGCCACAAGGGAACACTGACGGCCGCTTGTGCACTTGCGGACGCCGGGACGCAGCATCTCGCGAAGACGTGCTGACCCCCAGGCCCCTTAGCGGGTAACCCTTGTATGCATTCGGGGAAAACCACATCCATCTGCTTCGCTCAGGCCAGGCATCGATCGAGAAATCGGGCTTTTGGTGTTCTCTTCGCTGCCGAAGGGCGTGGAGAATGTGTCCAACATCACCTTGGAGCCCAAGAGAAGAGCCGAGAATCTTGGCTCGGAGTTCCCGAAATGGTTGGTGTCCTGTTGGTGGGTTCCCTTTCAATGCAACCAGTATGGGAATTACACCGAGAGCACACCCATGAACCAACCGCAATACACACACCCATATATTTTAAATTCGGCAACCAGGGGATGACTCACCTGAACCGTAGAATCATGGCCCTTGCAGAAAGCTATACTGTTTGACAACTGGCAGGAAGAGAATTTCTCTGCTTGAGCCTCCTGCTCCAGTTGATTCAATGGAACCTCAGAGAACATGGAATTGAAGGCTCACGAATGCCGCTTGCCTTGTGAGTCCCATCACCTCCCTTCGACCACACGTGCTTTGGCCTTGGGCTATTCGAGTGGTAGTAGCCATCATCTGCTAAGGAGACAAGCCTGGCATGTCCCAAGCAACTTGTTTCTTTGTTTGCTTGTTTGTTTGGATTGTCTGCTTTGTTTCTTGGTTCCTTGGTTTGTTTCGGTTGTGTGTTTATGTCTGTGTGTGTGTATGCTTGTGTGAGTGTGTCTTTGCTGGCTTTCCGGCGTGTTTGCTTGTCTGCTGGGCTCGTTCGCTCGCTTGTTTGTATGTGTTTATTTGTTGTTTGTTTGTTGTGTTGCGTTGTCATTGTACGTAGGTTTGCCTGATTGTTTATTTGTTTGCTTGCCTGATTGTTTGTTTGGCTATTGGTTGGTTGGTTGTTCTGATTGTGCCGTCGTTGTTGGTTTGTGTGTTTGCCTGATTGTTCACTTGTTTGCTTGCCTGATTGTTTGTTTGGCTGATTGGCTGGTTGGCTGGTTGGTTGGTTGGTTGGTTGGTTGGTTGGTTGGTTGGTTGGTTGGTTGGTTGGTTGGTTGGTTCATTGGTTAGTTGTTCTGCTTATCGCCGTCGTTGTTTGTTTGCCTGATTGTCTATTTGTTTGTTTGGTTGCCTGATTGTTGGTTGGCTGGCTGGCTGGCTGGCTGGCTGGCTGGTTGGTTGGTTGGTTGGTTGGATGTTCTGCTTATCGTCGTCGTTGTTGGTTTTGTTTGTTTGCCTGATTGTTATTTGGTTTGTTTGGTTGCCTGATTGTTGGGTTGGCTTGTTGGTTGGCTTGTTGGTTGGTTGGTAGGTTGGTCGGTCGGTCGGTCGGTTGGTTGGTTGGTTGGTTGGTTGTTCTGCTTATCGTCGTCGTTGTTGGTTTGTTTGTTTGCCTGATTGTTTATTTGTTTGTTTGGTTGCCTGATTGTTGGTTGGCTGGCTGGCTGGCTGGCTGGTTGGTTGGTTGGTTGGTGGGTGGTCAGTCGGTCGGGTCGGTCGGGTTGGTTGGTTGGTTGGTTGTTCTGCTTATCGTCGTCGTTGTTGGTTTGTTTGTTTGCCTGATTGTTTATTTGTTTGTTTGGTTGCCTGATTGTTGGTTGGCTGGCTGGCTGGCTGGCTGGTTGGTTGGTTGGTCGGTCGGTCGGTCGGTTGGTTGGTTTGCTGGTTGTTCTGCTTATCGTCGTCGTTGTTGGTTTGTTTGTTTGCCTGATTGTTTATTTGTTTGTTTGGTTGCCTGATTGTTGGTTGGGTGGCTGGCTGGCTGGCTGGCTGGTTGGTTGGTTGGTGGGTCGGTCGGTCGGTCGGTCGGTCGGTCGGTTGGTTGGTTGTTCTGCTTATCGTCGTCGTTGTTGGTTTGTTTGTTTGCCTGATTGTTTATTTGTTTGTTTGGTTGCCTGATTGTTGGTTGGCTGGCTGGCTGGCTGGCTGGCTGGCTGGCTGGCTGGCTGGTTGGTTGGTTGGTTGGTTGGTTGGTTGGTTGTTCTGCTTATCGTCGTTTGGGTCCTGTTGGAACACTGGCGCCCAGTGACCTCACCGGAGGCCCTTCCTTTCTCGGCGCGTTCCGCTCGAAGCTGAGGTTCGCGGCGGCCGCCAATGCCGCGGCCACGCTCGCGGAGAACGAAGCCATGTCAGAAGCCACGGGCCGAAGCCTTGGCGAGGGACGAAGCATACACCTTGGGGGCTTGAAAGGAATCCACGCAGAAATAAATGAATAAATGAGTAAATAATGAATGAATAAATAGGTGGGTATATATATATACATATGTATTCGCTTATTTACTCATTTATTTGTATATTTGTTTGTTTATTACCTTACTTGTGTCTGTGTGCATATATATATATACATATACGTGGTTATAAATAAGCTTGGCTGTTGAACAAACTGTCCTTTACATTGGATGCCACTAGGAGACCCCGGGCGTGCTTTTTTGGAGAACATCGAAGCGCCGCGTATGTTGAACAGTTAAAGAGCGGAGTCTTTTTGTGGTAGTAAGTGGACATATCAGGCCCCACGTAGGCATATTCCTGCGCGCGTAGCCACTTCTGGACAGTCGGCTGGGAAGATCCTCGCGTAGGTGCCGCGTAGGCTCGACTTGACTTGACAGGTTGCCCGTAGGTGCGCGAGTTAGCACGAAACACACACCGCGTAGGCAGTTTGAGAGCAAAACTCCAACCGCGTAGGCTGGCACAGGCGTTTTAAAGCCTGACATACACCTCGCATAGGCCATTCCGCATGGTATTTGCACATGGCGTAGGCGCCGGCGTAGGCGTTTGATACGTCATCAGCATTACCTTCCCAAAAGAAACTCTGCTCGACAGTTGGGTAGTCTCCACGAGCCTTTGAAACCTGAACATGATGGCTACACTTTCCAGGCATCATGATACATCCCTGTACAAGTATCTCCATGAATTGATGGGTGTCTCTAGGATGCCCCTTCAAATGCCCAGGGTTGGTTGATTTCTTAAGGCGGCCCAAATGGACCGCGTTTTGGTTCCAAAGTTATGGGACACGTGGAGCGGATCGTTTAACAAATTTCAGTCCAGAGCCCAACTCGGTCACCACGGCCTGTTGACTCGTTGGCGATTTTTGGCAAGAGATCTTTGGACTTTAATTTTTTGGTAACTGTGGAGGATTCCAATTGCAGCCACACAAAATCAAGAACCTCTCAGAGGGGTCGTTTCAGCAACCAAGATTCTGAGTGCCTCTGTCTGTTTCGCTCATCGCCAAGGATGGTTCTTCGATGTGTTCCAAGACAAGGCGACGGCGCGCGGGCAAGATGTGATTCCGGTTGCAAGAGCGACAGGACCAGGCTACTTAGGATGCAGGACCCTGCAAGACCACCTTTGCCCACACCCGTCTCAAGTGGGATACGCAGCGGGGGGCTCGGGGTCCCCAAATTGCCCTGAAGCTGACGTAGACGTCCAGCAGTAAGGACCGTACAAGAAGTTCATTGTCTTCCCAAAGGGTGTCCCACCTTTCATTCTGGAAAACGTCTTCCTCAACTCAAACATGCAACATGGGCGTGCGTGAGAGAAATCGGAAGGCCCCTGAAAAGGGGTCTTGCATTGCGAAACACACACCGCTAGGTCCCCCACTCGGTGCCAACTTTTACCAGCTTTTTTTGGGGGAGGGTTCCCCTACTAAAATAGACAAAACAGAAAAATGTCGCCCTTATTCTAACCTCTCTGCTGGAGGACGTAGTTAGACTGTAAGTGCCAGGCTGCAGGACTTGTTTTTGATCTCAAAACGGGCTTTCGGTGCATGGATCGTGGCGCAGGTATGGAGGGTTTGATATGAAGTACCGTCAGAATTACTTCTGTTGAGTTTAGTATTCGGTGTTTCATCATTGTGAAAATGCACAAAACGATGGCAAACGATAGGGGGCTCTCAAACTAAGTAGCGAAACGGCCGTGAGTAAGTCATTTCGACCGTGCCTCATGTGAACAGAAGCTCAGTTGCCCAAAGCGAATCGACCTTTTGACCTTTCGTTTTTTCCTTTTTGGTCTAGTTTTAGTCATGGCCCCAAAAGGTGATCACCTTTTATTTCTGGGTCCTTTGGGCAAGTGAGGAAAGCCTTCCCTTTCCAGCAATCAGTTGTTTTTTCCTCCTTGGCCATGGCTCGAGCCGCCGAAAAATCCGCCAAACAGTTGACTCGGACGTTGACTCATGTTTGTGGCGAGAAGGGGCCTGGGAACATGAGAAGCGTAAACGGTGACTGGTACACGCGATGGTAAGGGTCTTTGTTCTGCAAGCAGAAGACTAAATATCGACCATGAAAAGTGAGCACCCAAAAGTGAGGACCATGGCCATGACTCGTACGGTTGACCCAAAAGCATAAGTGGTATTTGAAGGATCAGATCCCAGTCCTTCAAGCAGATGGCTCCTTAAAAGAAATTCATGTTGCGACCATTTAAAAGCATGGTGGCTTTTTCAGCACCAAAATAAAGAAATGGAAGCAACACCATGTACGAGTTTTGCCATGTTCGGTTCCGGTGTGTTTCATAAAAATCCGGATCCCTTGTCAAAGGGGTTTCGCCAAGATACTGCTTGAGCAATAGTTTCGAGCGGCTAAACCCCCATTGGCTCCCAACCGACTCCGCTTCCGCGAGCTGGATCAGTTCTCGCCGCTCTTCAACACGACGCACGCTGAGCGCATTCACCTGAAGAAGCACGTGCGCTGGAGCACCTCGGACAAGGCGGGGAGACAAGCGTTGGAGCATTTCGCCAAGGGATCTTCGGAGTGAATCACTGTTTGCCAAGGGGTTTTGCAGTTATGTTGACCCAGGATCAATAAACCCGTCCATTATTTGGGGGGGGGGGTGTTCCCTGCAACAGTGATGAATCCCCACTAAAAGGGGCTATTAATCAATCAGGGGTTTATTAATCCGGGGTTAACCTTAAACCACTAACATATATTTTTTAAGAGGGAACAGAAAGCAACCGAGCAAGGCGGGAGGCGAGCCACCAACCTGAGCCCGCCCATGGATGGATGGCAGTCGGTCTTTTTTTCTACCGAGCTCATCTAGACTAGGTCCCCCAGCGAGGTGCCCTTTTGCCAACTTTTTTGGGGGGAGGGTTCCCCTCCTAAAACAGACGAAACAGAAAAAAGTCGGGTGCCCTGATTCGAACCTCTCTACTCAAAAAAACCCAGAAGAGGTACAAGCTCAGCCCAGGTGAAGCGGCGGTGTGTGGTTTCTGGGGATCTGATGCCTTTGGTTCTTGCGGGAAACCCCCCCCGAACCTTAGGACCTCGGGCTGCACACCACGAGGCGACATGGGCCCCATGGATCGCATGGATCGCATGGATTTGGACTCCCAGAGATGGATCTGGTGAAAACTCACTCGAAGTCCGCTTCGGACTTTCACTTTTGGCTAGGTCCCCCAGCTAGGTGCCAACTTTTACCGATTCTTTTTGGGGGGAGGGCTCCCTTACTCAATAGACTACAGAAAAAAAGTTGGTACCCTTATTCTAACCTCTCTACTGGAGCACCTAGTTGGGGTTGGTGGCCAGTTGTTGGTGGCCAGTTTAGTGGTGAATCACAAGTGCCAGGACTTGTTTGGTTGCCCATCCGCTTGAATCTGGGGCACTAGTGACAGGGAGTTCTTTGGGCGCATCCACTGGTTCGGAAGTGGGGGGTAGAATCTGAAACCCACATTCTAGTGATAGTGACCCAGAAAAGCGGCGAGACCGGTTTGCATCCGAGAGTTACACCCACGAAGCGCTCACCAAAGCGTTGAAGCCTTACACGTGTCGTCTTGAAAGGCGATTGGGTAACGGATCTTTGGGGTTGAAACCGCTGGGATGGTTTGTATTGGACTAAAAAGCACCACACTTTTTTGCATAGGGTCCTTCCAGCAAGTCGCGAGAGCGCTGAATTCCCTTTTGACATCGAGAGCCCTGGGATTGGATTCGGATTGGCAGGTCTTCTTGAACAGGGCTCCTTAAAAGAGACCATTTTGCAACCATTTAAAGCATGGCTTTTTCCACCAAAATACAGGGAAGCCACCATTTACGAGGCAATGTTCAGGTGCATAATGTAAGGATCCCTGTTGAAGAATGATCAACTCCCCCGTGTTACACCTCCAAACCACTGAAGGATTGGAGGCAACGGTTCCAGGCACCTCTGGTCACCAGTCCAAAGGTTGTCAGAGGGGTTCTCAACCTATTTCAAGCTAGGATTCGGGCTGTTTTTTTCTTCACATCTTCGATTTGCTGAAATGAAAAGGAGGGTTGTTTGCCCTTGTTGGTTCAGGGAGTCTAGCACTGGAAAAAGGTGCTCATGTTTTTTGGTCTAGGGGACATATTGGCCATAGTTTTGCTTGAGGTTCAAGGGCACAAAAGCAAGCCGTCTATTCTCTCAACTGAGGGAGGCAGAGAGCCTCACTTCCACCCTATGGGGTTTTCCCACTCAGGTATGTGCTTTGAGGCTACCAGTTCAGGGCTGGGGGAGGCTAAAAAGCAGGCCGGCAATGGAGGTCCATACTCATTTGTTTGAGGGCAACAGGTTTTCTAACCTCCGTTTGACGTTCAGCGACTCCTTGTGCACAAGTCTGGCCCGGCTGATCAAGACCTCAAGGTAGAAAGTTGATTCGGCTTTCCTTTGTTCCTGTTCTCACTTCCTGAGTTTATGTACTTTAAACTTTATGAGTTTGGACCATTTTATACCAAAAAATCCAGGATCTTTGGGGCCATGAATCAACTCGTTGGGAAGTGAGTGTTTACTTGACTGCTATTGGGTTGGATCTTTAGACCTTAACTTTTTTTGGAAATCAAGGGGTTTTCCGACAAACCCCCTAAAAAAGTAAAATAGAAAACCTTTTGCAGGGGGTCCTTGCAGCAACCAAGAGATCATGGCCCAATTTCTTTCAGCCCTACGAAGCCAGCCTTGGGACGCAGGTCCTTTTCGCGGTGATCTGCGCCGCGTTGGTGTGGCAGCCTGAGATCGCTAGATCGCTCGGATCTTGGTTTTGGCTGTAGGTGTCCTTTTTGGTTTGGCACCTTGGCTGCGATGTCGTCCCATTTTTGGCACCTGGTCCTTTTTGGTTTGATCGCAGCCCATGTGTCCTTTTTGGAGAAATAGAGGGCGATCCAGGGTTTACCTGGTGGATGAATCAACCAGGGAAACCCATCTATTTGCCCTAAAAGGACACCTATGTGTGTGTTCTTGGGGAGTACAACCCATGGTTTTTGAAGGGACACCGAAAGGAAAGCCACCCAATTTGGAGGGGGTCCCCTAAAAAGACACATCCTTAAATTATGACACTTCCAGTGGCAAACAGAAAGTTTAGGTTCCAGTCAACTCGTTCGGAAGTGAGTTCCAGCAGTCATCAGAGTTGTTCCCTGGTTTCAAGCTGATGAACCGATCTGGAAGCTGATTTTGCGGCCATTGGCTCCTCTGTTTCAGCTGCCAAGTTTGGCTCATGACCCCTCAGACCAAAAACCTTGCCATCTGCAAGTCCCCAAATCCTAGTCTATAATTTTGAACAGCGGAAAGCAACCCATTTTCCAGAAAACAAAAAACATAAATAAAGCAATAACAGCATTTTCCCGTTTCGCACCTGGGGAAAACGATGTCCGATTGTCTGATTTCCCCCCCCCCCCCCCATCCGCCGTAGGCTCCTGGACGGCCTGGTGTTCCAGCGCATGGCCCTCACCGGGCTGCGGCCCCACTTGGCGCTGGTGGGGCTGTGGATCTTGCTGGGCATAGGCGCGGCCTTCGACCATGACTAGGTCCCCCAGTAGTGCCTTTTTACCCTTTTTTGGGGGAGGGCTCCCCTACTCAAATAGACTACAGAAAAAAGGGTACCCTTATTCTAACCTCTCCACTGGAGGACCTACATGAACCCGGCCTTCGGGGACCATCCTACGGTGGATGGTTGCGAAATCCGTTCGCACCACTTTAAAACTATGGGTGAGACCAGTGTTTGTTGGTATTTACATGGTTTCTCAGGTGATGCGAAATGGATTTCGTCCATCCACAGTAGTAACAGTTGGTGTGCCCCTGCAAACGATTCCCCGCGCCCAAGCAACCAGATGTGTTTTTGCTAGGTCCCCCAGCAAGGTGCCAACTTTTACCGATTCTTTTTGGTTGGGAGGGTTCCCCTACCAAAATAGACTGGATTCTAACCTCTCTACTGGAGGACCTAGCCATGAACCCCCGAGTGGGAGTAGTGCCCGGGGTTGCTGAGGCGACCCCAACCCGCCCCCCCCCCCGAGCAAAAAAGAAACAATGAGGTGGGCGTGAATTTTTGAGAAGGGTAAGTGTATCACAAATATCTAGTGGGTTCATCGATTCGACCAAATCCCCGTTTCGTTTGGAGGGGAATAGGTCAGAAAGGGCGTATGGAAACGCTTTGTGACCACGCCTTTGATCCGGCGAGGGCCGAAGCCTATCGCGCAACAAGATGCATGGCCTCAGCATCTAGCAACACAGCTCATTGGCTACAAAAGAAACCCATGTACCATCAACCAGACATTCATAAGCAAAATAAATATTCGAGGCAACCCTCCTAAAGTATGGCTTGACACCTCAAATAACACATCAACACTGTTCCACCAGTTCCCCAGATCTCATTCCAGTTCCCCAGATCTCATTTGAGGTCTTTGGAGGTAGGTCCCGCGCTCTTGTGCCGGGGGTCCGCATGTGAGCCTGGGATTCCGTGTTGCCAGGCTACAACGCCCTCGTCTTTGCCCGTCAGGGTATGGTAGCAGGCGCTCCGTGCGTCGGATGTCTTTGGAGAGCAAATGAAACCAGAGGGTCCCTCCCCGTTTCGCCCCTGTTTAACCATCAGAGGGTAACCTGGCACACGAATTTGGTTTGCAGCCTGCTTCCTTTGTGGTCTATTTTTCTTAGGTCGGCTGAAGAGATGTGCAATGTTCGCATTGGTGAACTGCCCCCTTGAGTGGCAGTCTCTTGTAATAGAAATCCCGGAGTTCATGTGAACTAGTCTAGTTTCACCCAGATAAAGACACTGTTTCCAAGCCGGTATGTGGTATGTGTCAAAACCAGCCCTGTTCGCAGCCTTAAAAGTAAACCATTCACATTCTCGTCAAAGCCAAATGGATAGCCGTAGGATGGCCTGATAAGGCGCGCCAGTTGTGCTGTCCTTCATTTCCCAGCCGTCTCCCCCCATCGCAGGGACCCGTCCAAGGGCGGAGGGGCGCCAGTGGGCGCCAGCCAGAAGCAAGCCTCATGCGGAGGGGGGCGAACTGTCCTCTGGGTTTTCCGGGTATTTTCAATCGGATGTCAGATGGGTCTACGCCTCTCTGTTGGTGTGAGTAGCTCTGGGGTGTGTGGCTGTTCATGATATCGGCATATACTGATGTGGCTGCGGCTCAAAAAAACGGTACCCAAAATGGATCTCTGGTAAGTGGACACGGACCAAAACCTGCGTAACCCCAGCTGTTTAATTTTGAGCCACGTCCATGTCATTCTTGACCAAACAAAACCTGTTTGGTTTGTCTTGAGGGGAAGTTAAAGGGGGAAGCCATGTTTGGCCCATTGCTCCTTGAGCAGGTGTGGAGTGGTGCAGCGGCTACGTCTTGGAACCTCTGCCGGGCAAATTGCTTCACGAGCTCACCAATTCGGGGGTTAAAAACCGGCGATTCCACCCGATTTCCTTATGCAAAGTATACATGACTTATAGTGATTATGTCTTCCTTCATATCCTTCCTTTCCCATGACTTGTAGTGATTTGCTGGGTGGTGGTTCTCTGAACCGCGCACATATTGTCTCACACAAGTAGAAGTGGTAGGTTCCGGGCCAAGCTGATCACGGGGCCTTTGGGTGAGAGCGCCAGGGAGCTCCCCAAGACAGATGCTTGCACTTGCGGCACTTACAGAACAAGAAGTAGAATTCATTCCACATGGGATCCTTCTTTCCAGAGCAGCAAACATCCAATGCCAGAAATGTCCCCAAAAAAGAATGGGGAATGAGCCTTGTCACATGGCTGAGGGTTTATGGCACAAACAAACAATGACCATGGCCTTTGGATTTCGTGCAAGGAATCTTGAGGCGTTCCCCAGCCGCAAGACTTTAGCTTAGGCTTGGGGTTCATGACATGTCCCACCAAAAGTGGTTCACGTCAGACCCACACATCAACGGCAAAGAGGGAATCATGGATTCATAAACCCGTCCTAACAGGTGGTGTGCCCCCGCAAAAGATTCCCCACTCCCAAGCAACCAGATTTGTCTTTGCTAGGTCCCCCAGCTAGGTGCCCTTTCTCACCAACTTTTTTTGTTGGGAGGGTTCCCCTACAAAAATCGACTACAGAACTAGAGGACGATTGGCCCGAAAGCATTTTTCCACAGGCGCTCATCCAGCCGCGGAGACACCTTTTTACATCGCTGCGGCGAGCGTGTCTGCGCGCGGCGATGCTCAGTGTGTATGGTCACATGAGAGCTCCATCTCATCATCCTACTTTCCTCTCGAACTGCGCCGCACGATTTCTCACGAAAGTGTTCTGCGCAAGCTGCATTGTTCCAGGCTGCTGCGCGCAAGTTGCTCTCTGCAAGCTGCTGCACGCTGCTGCACGCAGTGTTTGTGTAAAGTTGTTTCATAGCGTTTGGCGTTGTTCTGCTGGCGTTTCTGTTGTTGTTGTTCGTCAAGAAGCGCTTCGAAGAGAGCCAGTGTTGGTCTGGCGCAGTTGTTTGCAAGGTCACAAGTGACGCGTGGCAAGCGACGTGTTTTGTGTGTTGGTCGCCATGTTTGGCTGTTTCAGTGTTTGCGCTATTGTTCGCAAAGCCGCTTTATGATGTGTTTCCAGCTGGTCTGTGTTGTTTCGCGCAGCGCTTTAGTACTGTTTCCAGTGTTGTTTCATGCGAAGTTGTTCTGCCAGCGTGTTTCATAAGTGATTCTGGCGCAAAGTTGTTTGGCGTATGACCTCACTCAAGTTGTTTCAAGTGCTGCCGGAGCGATTTTGCAGCCGGAGCTGCGGGGGTGTGCTCCGCGTACTACGTTTGTACTTAAAAGTTGCGATTTTCCAGCCTGAGCTGCGGGAGCACGCTCCGCATACTACGTTGCGATTTTCCAGCCGGAGCTGCAGGAGCACGGTCCGCGTACTACGTTGCGATTTTCAAGCCGGAGTCGCGGTGTAGTTCACAGACTACGCTTGTACTTAAAAAGTTATGATTTTCCAGCCTGAGTTGGCGGAGCACGCCCACACAAATTACGCCTGTACTTGTTATGGTGCTCTCCAGTCGGAGCTGTGGCGGAGCATACCCGCCGTATCACGCTTGTACTGAAAAGTCACGATTCGCTCGGAGCTGCATGATCGGGAATCGAACTCGATCGCTGGATTATGTAAAGTTATCGTTATGAATCACTAGATAACTTCTGTGCCAATGCTTGAGTATAAAGGCATGTTCTGTACTGGGCGCCATATCACCGACAACGTCAACCACTTCGAGATGGTTCGCGAGATCAGCAAGGCCCGAAGAATTGCACGGCGCCACAAGCAGAGCGATCCGAACAGTCCAAAGTCCGCAGTAGAGGGTCGCACAGAGACTGCAGGAAACGTTAAAAGTCCTTGTGTTTTTTGGCAACCCCGACTACGCGAATCCCTTCCGCAGAGGGTCGCGCGCGGCCAGCAGAAATCGTAAATAGTCCTCAGTTTTTGAACCTCGACCACGCGAATCTTCGCAGAGGGTCGCAATCCCGAGCGACGATCAAACTTCCGCCCCGGCGCCTTAGAAACCTAAACTAACTTACATAGCTGCTAGCGCCGAAGCTCTAAGCTCTACCTAACCTTGGCTCTATGTAACTTGGCTCTATGTAACTTGGCTCTATGTAACTTGGCTCTATGTAACTTGGCTCTATGCAACTTGGCTCTATGCAATTGAGGTTTCATGTATCTAAGTTTATAATTTGCTCATGTAATTTTGGTTTCTATGTAATTTGGTTTTATGTAATTATTTTATGTAATGGGCTTGTTTCATGTAACGTGGTTTCATGTAACTTGGTTTATGCAACTTGCTTCAGTAAATTTGTTTGTGCAATTTGGTTTTATGTACCTATTTATGTAATGTAGTTTGCTGTAACGGTTTCAGTGTAATTTTGGTTTTATGCAATTTGGTTTATGCATTTGGTTTCTATGGTACTCTGTTTCATGTAACTTGGTTTATGCAATTTGACTTATGCAACTATTTCTATGTAATTTTGGTTTCTATACTACTTATGTAACTTGGCTCTATGTAACTTGGCTCTATGTAACTTGGCTCTGTGCAACTTGGCTCTGTGCAACTTGGATCTGTGTAACTTGTCCAAGGGCTCCGCACGGAAGAGCGATGCTTTCGGGAAAAAATGGGTACCCTTATTCTAACCTCTCGAAAACGGAGGACCTGGTTTTTTTGGGGTTGTTGTTTTGGGGTTTTTGTTTTTGGGGGTTCCTTCAAGCCTTCAAGGAATGGCTGCTGTCCATGGACAACCTCTTCGTATTCCATCTCATCTTCCGGCTCTACAACACTCCCCCGCAGCTGGTGCACAAGGAGCCGGGCAATTCACATGCGGGCAACCTTGGTTTTTTCGCCCACACAAAAACTTCACTGCTATTGGGCTGGATCTTTAGATTTTTTAACTTTTGGATCTTTAGATTTTTTAACTTTTCGGGAAATAAAGGTGTTTTCCACTAAACCCTCAGTTGTTCAGTGGCACCAATTATTGTTCCTTCTTTTTTTTGGTGGCTGCCCAAAAATGGTCTTCCCCAAAAAGAGTTCCCTTTTTTTCCAGCGTCACTGAACAACTGAGAACCCACACAAAAAGTCCCCTGTTAATGTGGGGTTAGCCTTTTTGAGGGGGGGGGGACAAATCCCAAGTGGCTAGCCTTTCGGTTTTCCCTTTTTAATCCATAGTCAAAGTCTCAAAAAGTGAGCCTGTTATTTCCAGGCAAGTGAGAGTTGGTACCCTCTTTTTAGATTGGCTTCGGGAAACCGACCGGAAACCCACCTATTTTGGGGGGCCCCGGCCCCCCTAGGTCATGACCCAGGCGTAGGTGAATCGAAAAACTGAGAGGCCCTGTTCCTGGGCATCATCGGCGCCATTGGCTTCCGCTTCTGCTTCTTCGCCATTGTGAGGCGAAGAAAGCCAAGACGTCGGGAGATGCGGTCGGTCGTTGGGCCGGTTGCAGATGTCTAGGTCCCCCAGCGATTGGTGCCCTTTCTCACCGTTTCTTGTTTGGGGGAGATTTCCCCTACTGAAATAGAGTACGGATAAAAGGGTACCCTCATTCTAACCTCTCTACTGAAGAACCTAGATGTTGTTGCGTGCTTCATGTCTCAGTGAGTTGTCCTTGGTTCAACCAGCCATCTGGTTCAACAGCGCTTTTTGGATCTTTTCAGTTGGTTTTGTGGGCGGGTTTCCACTCAACCCACTAAAGTTGAACTTTTAGCAGGGGATCTGAGGACAGCCCAGTCTTGGGTTTGTTGTTGAGATGGCGTCTTGGTTGCTCAGTTTCTCTTGTTAGCCTAGTGTTATTGCATGCTGTTGTTGTGCGGGTTTGACAGCTATTGTTATCTTGTTGGCGCTGTTGTGTATTGCGCATGTGTCATTTCTTGTGGCTCCTCGTTTGTTTCGGTAGCTGGCGCGTGTTAGTGTGCTGTGGATGCTAATTGGCCTTCTGTCAGCTCGTTGTGGTGTTACTTTGTTGCTTCTCTGTCTGACCATTGCGCATTGGCGCAGAACATGTCCAGCCGTCCAGCACGAGTTACGGCTTACTGCAAAAAGTGGGATATTAGCGTTGAGCAATTTGTTGCACACCCTGCCCGAGCTTGCACGGGGAAGTTCAGACTGAACCTACCCTTTTAAGCCAAACCGCCTTTTCATGGTTGTTGCTGGGAAACATTTTACATTTTTGCTTATTGTTGTTTCGTGGGAAATCCTCACTTAACTGCTAAAACTTATTTTGTTGCTCCCCTTCCAACGTCAACCAGTTTTCCGCTTTCCATCATGTTCCATTTCCCGAAGCAGAAGTTGGCTTTTGCTGGTCTAAGCTCTGGCCCGGAGCTGAGAACCCGGTCGCATCGGCCAGATGCTTGTGAGGTCTAGGCGAACAGGTCTATCCATTCGGTCACTTCAGGCGAACATCTTCTAGGTCCCGCAGTGGTGCCCTTTTTTACCGCTTCTTTTTTTGGGGGAGGGTTCCCCTACTAAAATAGACTACAGAAAAAAAGGGGTACCCCTTGTTTTTAACCTCTCTGCTGGAGGACCTAGTAGTAGATTACTGGAAGATACGCCGATTTATCATAGCCTTGCAGTAGTGGTTGGTTCCCGTCCCGGGAGCCGAATCCCCCGGATTTGGGAATGTCCCCCAAAAAAGACTGATGGTCCAAATCATCTTAATGCACTCAGTCATAGCCAATGCTTGCCGCCCAAGAGGAGGTCCCAGCTCCCTTTTTTGAGCCACGGCCGAGTTTTATTTGGGTATTCCCCAAAATTAGGGCCCTCCTTTGGTTTGAAGGGCAACCAAAAGGAACAAAGCACCTGATGCGGTCTCTCATGTTGAGAACACCTTTCCCTCCCATGGCACTCCTGGAAGACCATTTTCCTTCTCAATGGACCCCTGTGCAAGTTCGATGTTTCAAGCTATTGGAATCCGCCGGGACTCTGCAAGAGTAGTACTCCATGAGTTCTCGGTCCCCGAGTTGGACTTGAGCCGCTTTTTGCGGTTTGGTTGAACCTTCCATTTGCCGAAAGGAAGATTGTTGTAATTGTTGCTTGTTCGTTTTGATGGGAATCGATTTCACTACTCAGGGCTCCTTAAAAGATGCCATTTTGCCCATTTGAAACGTTTTTTCCACCAAAATAAAGGAAAACCACCATTTACAAGGCAATGTTTAGGTGTATAATGTAAGGATCCCTGCTACTGCTTGTTTTGTTTGTTTTTGTTCCAGAGGGCTGAAGCAAATGGCGTGTTGCCATTTTGGTGACATTGCCAAACAGTGTAGCGACTTTTTCTGGCCAGTCTTGGGAAGCGAGTCGGCTGTAGCAAAGGGCTGACATAGTGAACAAAATTGCTCTTTCCAATTGCATGGTGGCCTAGAAACATGTGCCTCACTCACTATTTTGCAGGGGCGCCTTACTGGAAGGTTGCTTCTCGCCTTGGGCGACTTGTTGGTTGAAAATGGTGGGCCCCCAAAACGAGTAGAAGCCTTCTTTGAGGGCCCCTCTCGCTTCACCACAGCTCAAGGCTGGACTTTCTGAGCCGAAAGTAGAAAGCCATGCGGCGAAAGTCGGCCAGAAGACGTGCAGCCGCCTTGGCCCTTCTACCGCTGCTGCTGAAGTGGTCGGCATGCTTCGCCACACCTCTCAGCCCGCGCCCGCCTTGCGAAGTGGAATCCTGGAAAGCCTGGAAGCCGGCAGCGAAAGTCTGGACACCGGAGCCCACAGTACTCCGAGCGTCCTGGCGTGTCGACGCCAAAGTCATTGCCATCGGGTCCTCTCAAGCGCCGATCAGGTCGCCGCCTCTGGCGCTGTGCGTCTTGCTCTGGTCCCTTTGGAGCTTCGGCACCTACACGCTGCTGGCGGCTTTGCTGAGATCCTGCACCCGGCGCCAGTTCGGCAACGCCGAGCTGCAGCTCCGGCTGATCTGAGGCCAGGGGAAGATGGCTGCCTAGTGAGCTTCCGTGCCACCCTCCAAATCCAAATCTGTCAATTCGACCAGGGTCACTCAACTGTGTACCTGAAAGCCAGCGACTCTACCCAGCGGCGCCATCGGGGTGAAACCAGTAGGACCTTCTACACGTTGGTGACCAAGAGCGATCCATACAAAGATAAATATATGGGAGAGCCTGAAAGTTGTCCTTTTGTTTCCCTTAAACAAAAAGGCTATCATCAAAAGCGACACACGCCTGAGTACTTTCGGACCGGGTATGACGCCAAACATGCTTTGGTGATGGTCTTGGGACCCTAAGAGCAGAAACCGACTGGTTTTCATCCAACCGGTTCTGACATATATATATATATATACATTTTCTGGTGCCTTGCCTCATGCCTGGTGAATTACAAGAGTACTTCAGAGGTTGCACACATATGTATATTATATGTAGTACATATCCTGCAGGTGCCTTGCTTGATTGTGGCCTGTGAATTACAAGGGTTCACCATTCTAGACTCCGTTGTTCAACGCCGACCTTTTGACCTTTTGGTTTTCCTTGTTTGGTGGGGTTGCATGCAGTTGCTAGCAGTGAATGTCATCCGGATGCAGGCTTATGCTGATGGTCTTGCCAAAGATAGTGAGGTGAGTAACTTGGATGCAACATGATTCTACGTGCCAGCCACTTGCAAAGCCAGAGAGAGGAAAGAGAGAGGAAAGAGAGAGAGAGAGAGAGAGAGAGAGAGACTGAGAGAGACAGAGAGCGAGAGAGAGAGAGAGAGAGAGACAGAGAGAGAGAGAGCGAGAGAGAGAGAGAGAGAAATAGAGAGAGAGAGAGAGAGAGAGAGAGAGAGACAGAGAGAGAGAGAGAGCGAGAGAGAGAGAGAGAGAGAGAAATAGAGAGAAATAGAGAGAGAGAGAGAGAAATAGAGAGAGAGAGAGAGAGAGAGAGAGAGAGAGAAATGGAGAGAGAGAGAGAGAGAGAGAGAGAGCGAGAGAGAGAGAGAGAGAAATAGAGAGAGAGAGAGAGAGAGAGAAATAGAGAGAGAGAGAGACATAGAGAGAGAGAAAGAGAGAGAGAGAGCGAGAGAGAGAGAGAGAGAGAATTAGAGAGAGAAATAGAGAGGGAGAGAGAGAGAGAGAGAGAGAAAAATAGAGAGAGAGAGAGAGCGAGAGAGAGAGAGAGAGAATTAGAGAGAGAGAGAGAGAGGAGGAGAGAGAGAAGAGGAGAGAAAAAGCGAGACATGTCAGTTTGTTTTTTCAATTTCGACGCATCGCGGAATTGTCCCAGACGTTTCCGGGCGAGGCCACTCCGCACACTTCGGAGGCCCGTGCCTGGGGGGGCAACGGAGGGCTCGCTGCTTCCTCCATGCCGAGAACTTTTCACAGATGCGGTAAAAAATAGGTGAACCCCCAAAAGGGGGCTCTGGTAAGAGGAAGCATGGACGAAAAAAACGCGGTCCATATGCTGGTGGTTTAATTTTGACCCACAGCCACACATCAAATACCAATGCTACGCGGATCATGTTCCATCTGAACGCCACACCTCATGCCAGGCTATGCGGCCGGGTTTGTGCTTGGCCTGGATCTCAGAGGTCGCGTGTGGCTGGCAGCTGGGGCAATTGGCTCGACCTTCACAGGGGGCAGGCTCGCAGTTGCGCCCAGTTTTGAGGGTATGTAAAGCAAATCTCCGGCTGAGACCCCAGCCTCTGAGCGCAGAAGCTTCTGAAATTCTGGAGATACTGATCCGATTCACCGAAGGGCCTGAAAGGCACCAGGTGCTCAAGCTGCGAGGCTTATATTTGCCTCTGCGGTTGTCCGCAGATGTTTCCACTCAGCGGCATGTGTTCTGCCATACAATAACCGAGGAATCCTTGTCGGAAGAAACTTGGACGAGGAGGAGAAGCAAGAGCATGCAAAGACGTTTCTTGGCTAAAGGAGTCCATCGACAGGATTTCGATGCTCGAAGATATTTGCTTGAATAGATCCGAATTTTCATGTTTGATACTGCGCTCGTGTCGCCCTTCAGGCTGCGATGCGAGCGCATCCTGCAGTTGGTCCTGGGCGTCGTAGGCTCCTGATAAAATAGTGCTGTCTCACGGGGGTCACCGGATTTCCCCTTCAACAGGTCACGAAAGCTAGCTTTAGCTAGCTGAAGTTTCTCCTTGCGTAAGCAAGGTAAGGGGCTCAAATGCCGAAAGATTGATTTTTTCAATTATTTGAGCCGAAAAGATTGAAAAACATCAATCATTTAGACCCCCCCCCCCTCCCCCCCCCCCCGGTCTCAGGCTCGATTCCTCCCTGGTCCATCCCCCAGGCAGTGGCTCAGTGTTCAGCAGTCTCGGTTTGCCCGTTTTGGACTTGGTGCTACGAACTTTTACATGTTCCACCGATTCAGCTTGTTCATTTGAGACCTCAGTCTTCTCGGTAAACCACCTCGCAAGAATCTTTGCACACGCAGCATGCAGAACCCAGAGGTGCTTTGAGACAGCTTCTGACGCCTCTCGTTGTTCATTTTTCAAGGTTTGCCACGCCACCATGTGCGTTCGCGTGTCGCATCCTACGAATCTTGCCGGGCCTCTCGTTGTACACAAGCTACCTCTGAATCCACTCTGTCACCGACCCATCTCATGCAACAACTGCTAGCTTTCGTTCACCCGCTCCTCAAGTTGCAGTCTAAGTCGTGGTAGTTTTCCCTTCAAACAGAAAACAGGAGACCTCTCGATTTCGCCTCAGGCGCCATCGTGCTTGTTTCGGTGATCGCCTGGGCTGCTCAGTGGCCTCCCAGGACCGGCGGGAAGCCGGTTTCGGGGTTGACAAGCTTTACATGGAAGATCTGTGCTTGGAGTGCGTTTCACAAGTCGGGACCCTCCCAATTGTTCTTCAAGTCTGATTGAGAGTGTCTGGAGCTAGGTGGCTCCAGATGGAGGGTTTTTTGGCTTCATTTGCGTCAGGGTTCAACAGACACCAAGAGCAGGTAGCTTTGGCGCGCGCCCTGTCCGCTGCGTCATGACGTGAGACCTTCCGAATTGCAGGACCTTGAGCGATACCACGCCGTGGTGTTGGAACCGGCAAATCTTCAACCAGTCAGCGACTGAGACGGGCGACAGCTTTCTGGAGCCTTAGTGCAGCATGGGAAGCTACATGGCATGTCAAAATGGGAGGGGGTGGAGCCCGGCAATTGCTTCTTTCCTTTTGGTTTCCCTCCAAACCTACCTTCAAAGGGTACCCTGAAAGAATGACGTCCTCATTTGGTGGAGAACGAGGCAGGGAAGGATCGCGGCCCCTGTGCGGCTTCGGCTCAGGTCACTTTTCCCAGAGCGCCTTGGAGCAAAGATCAGGGAGGGTTCTCGCCGCGGCAGTTTGGGCGGACGAAGGAAGGTCCACGTTTTTTGTTTTTGTTTTTTCTTGCTCAGTGTAAAGCTATGGGCCGCGCAGGCCTAAAGCCGTGACCCAGGCTTTGGTCCCCGAAAAAAAGGGCGACCGCTTGTTTTTTGATGCTTTCGGTGGTTCAATCCATTTCCCACTCCGCATCTTTGGGAAGGATCGCACGATTTTCTCGCACGCGAGCTGGTCAGGTTCAGGTTTCACTGCATCCGATGCCAAGACGAGAGTTGCGTCTCAAGGTCGGGGCCTCAGCTGAGCGCTGGCTGCCTTGCGGAGGGGTCAGTGAATTGCTGAGGTTTGAGGCAATGGCCAATGTGGAGCAGGCAGGGCCAGATGTCAATTCTGAATGGGCCAGCAGAATTCTCAGGTCTTTTCAAGCAGCTGGAAGTTTCATTTGTCGCTATCGCAGGTGAGCTTCCGGGTTTGCGAAGGGGTGGGCTGGAGCTACAGCCTCTCGGCTTTGCAGGGCAGAGATCTTGCCCCACCAGGCTTTGGTTCGCTTGGACAAGTCCGTGTAGGATTTGCTGAAATCAGACGGACCCTTGCAGCGACGAGTTCCAACTTGAGCCAAGAAGATGCCATTACTTTGATATCGTCGGGCTTGCTTCATCCCTAGGTCAATGAGCACTGCGTGGGCGCAGCGAATTGCACGCCGGTGCACAAAGTGCTACCGAGGCAGAATTGTACATAGGTCTCCTATCGAAAACGAGATGAACTACGTCACTTATCGCTTACCTGCCCCCAAAGCCATTGGTGCAGGGCTTCATGGCAAACACAGGTACCCTGTCTTGTTTTGGAGGGTACGGGATAACCTTATATTTTAAATATATTCATTCCTTCTTTTATGATTTATTTGAAACATATAATTTTCAATTAATTATTATAATATGAAAATTCTATTTAAATATTATATTATTGTTAGATATTTAATTTAATTATATTTATAATATATTTTGAATTATTTATTTTAAAATTAAGGATTGGAAAGGATTATATATAAGGACAAATATACAAGGACATATAGTAAATGATTGGGAAAATTGGATTTAATTTATATATAAGAATTGATTGGATTATATTTGATTTGGGGTTATATATAAATTATAATTACTAATATATTATATGTTTTAATATAAATATTATGTAATATATATATATAATTAGATATATTATTTATTATATTTAAATTAGGATACAAATATTAATTCTTAAACATATTATATTTTGTATGCTTTTTGGTTGGTTGGTTTAATAAACGAATTTATTTGTCTTTTTGTTTGGTTTAGGGTTGTTGGATGCTCTTCATGTCTCTTATACATTTGTTTTAGATTTTTTTTTTTTTTTTTCCTTAATTTGAATTATATTTTATATATTTATTATTATATTGGCTTAATAATTAGATTAATATATTTCTTAATTTGATATGTTTTATTTTTCGACCGAACGATTTAATAAACAAATTAATATATTTATTAACTTGGTTTAAGAATATCGGATATTCTATATGTCTTTTATGCATTTGGCTTAGTAATTAAATTTCCTATTTTTTTGTTTTGTTTGCTAAATATTCTATATGTTTATTTTCGTGCTAACTTAATAAACAAATACATGTATTTCCAAATTTGGTTAATCTAATTATATACTCTATGTATCTTTTGGCCAGTCGGCTAAATAAACGAATCCATTTATTTCCTAGCCAAATTTAAAACAAATGCTCTATATACCTCTCGCGCGACGAGCTTCATAAATAATTTCTGTCTTTTTTG